GGGGGGGGACAAAAGGATCGGAAAAGGCAAGCTTCAAAGATGACGTACCCAGACGTGTATTCCGACATTGCTGTACCGTTTTGCATCTCGGCCATGGCAAGGGCCGCGTCCTGGTGGGGATCCATACCAAACGGTTTCCCCTCGTTGTTACTGCCATTGACGTTGTTGCCCAGCGAGCCCATGAGCATCGGCGGCAGCGGCGTCCTCGCCCCGCTCCCGGTGCCGCTCGAGTCGGTCCCCTTCAACTGTGACGTGCCCATGATGGTGCCGTGCTCGTAAATATTGCGCAGCGCCGTCAGCGCCCTCCACAACGGACCGGAGAGCTCGATATCTTTATCCGTCTTGGGGATATGGGCCGTGGGCGAGGTGGCCTCTTTCGCGGCCGTCGCGGACAGCGCCGCAATGAGGTCCCCTTGCAGCTGGCGGACCTCGGGGCTGTTTTTCGTCTCGCCCAGGATGCCGAGGAGCAGTGCCGAGGAGAGGCCGTGATATGTAAACGCCCAGCTGCGGGTGGGGATGACGGAGAGCTGGTGCATGGCGAGGAACATGCGGACCGTCTCGGCGAGGTTATGCTGGCACTTGTCCGAGAGGTGGCGCTTCTGCTCGGGCGTGAGCTTCGTGCAGTCGCGGCGGAGGGCGGGGCGGCAGCAGACGGAGATGACGAAGGAGGTGTGCAGGCGGACGGCGTAGTGCTGGAGGCGGTCGACGGCGCGCTTGCACTGTTCTTTGATGCGGATGTTGGGGGCCACCATGTTGCGGAGGTTCTCGACGGCTTCGCAGTTTTCAACTATTTGCTCGTAGCTTACCGTTGTCGCGGCCTCTGGGTTGAGGCGCCGCGAGATGATTTCGCAGAGGTGGTACATTGTGTCCAGGTAGCCGTATTCGCCTGCGATGGTGGTTGCTACCGTCGGGATTGGGCAGCAGGGGATATTTGTCATGGTTGGACTGCGCTATTGTCAGCGTATTGTGATGTGGCAGTCTCGAGAAGGGAGTCAATTCTAACCGATCAAACGATAGTGACGTGAGGGTGTCGTGCCATACACACGTCCACCACAGCTTCCGGCGGATCATCTCCTTGGACTGCCCGTCGCTCCGGGCGCTATCCCGTCCGTCCGAGGGATTTGGGCGGTGCAGGCCGAGAGACTGGGCCAGCCTACACGTCAGGCCGAGCAGGGCCCACGATGCTTCGGCCTTCATGTCATTGAGGAGGACGAAGCTGGTGAGTAAGAGAGCCTGGATCGAGTCGAATGTGGGTCTGTACAGCCGGTGGGGTCTCGGGTTAGTGGATGTTTTTTGTTTTCCGCGGTCATTGTCCAAAATGGGGGATGTTACAGTTACATGGGTCCAAAAAAGAAAAGTAGAAGGGGAGATTAAGAGATGAGAAGTAGGATGACTAACCGTAGTAAAAAGTTGCCGAGCCGCAAGAAATGGAATGATATTTGTATGTACTTTTGCGAGTCCCGCGTGCGGATGTGATATGGCGAGTCGTGGTACTGCGACCCAACGGCGAGGAGGGCAAAGAGGATGGCGAGCCACGACGCCGACACTGGCTTGGGCGTCCGCGTGGCGTTGCTGGCATTGCGGGCACGATCTTCGAGGTAGACCATGAGCTTGGACTCGAGGTCGTCAATATCGACGACGAAGCCCCAAAACTGTTGCGGGGTTTCTTTGTATGTGCGGAAGAGTCTTTTTCACTGTTAGTCCACCCATTGTGAATCACAAACCTCCTCCCCCCCCCCCCCCACCGTGTGGGCGAGGTTGCAGGGACCAAAAAAAAACTCACTTCATGACTTCACGGTCCGAGGGCAGCTCCGCCGAAATCTCCCTCGTAAGACTATCAAGATGCTTGGATGACATGAGCGGGAAGGGCGCCGAGGTATCGAGGCCGAGAATGGACCGCATGTCCTGCCGTATATCGACGCCCTCCTGGAGCTCGTTCGCCCCGGACTGCTCCCGCAGCAGGGAAGGGATGCTGTTCTGCCCGAGATACCGCGTCACGGCCTCGGGGGCCTCGGTCTCGTCCACCACGCCTGCGGCTACTGGTCCCCGGGGGAGTTTATCAGTATACAGCCCGTTGTTGTTTCCCGCAAACGAGGAAGACATGGACGCAGCAGCAAAAGGTCTCATACCAGGGTGGATGTGCTGGTGTTGGTGGTCTTGCGGCAGTGATGATGACGACGATGATAATGGTGACTTACCGATGGCCACGCGTGGCCAGTTCGCGCCGCCGGTTTCCTGCTTCAGGGGAGGTTGGCCCGCGGCAACGTCCGCGGCGGGATCCTCGGGCGAGTGCGGTCTTTTCAGCTTGTTGGTCGTAGAAGCCGTGCCGTTACCCACAGTGGTCGTCGCGGTCGTGGCAGCAGCGGCAGTAGCGGCAGCACCACCGGCGGTACTGTTACCGCCCTCGGTTGTCACGGAGCCGGCGGGTTTGTGATTAGTGCCGTGGGAGGCTGTGCGGTTTGGTTTGTAGGAGCATAGCTGAGGGTGTTCGCGCTTGACGCAGTTTTCGCACGGCTGTTTGTTGTCGCACTTTACCTTGCGTTGGCGGCACGGCCAGCAAGCGGTGCCTGACGGGGGAAAAGTGTCAGCGAGGTGAGACAGTCAATGAATGGTGAGGTGAGGTATGTCTTATAGAGGGGTGACGTGAAGATGAAAGGACGTGAGAGAGCAGTCATCTCAAGTCTCTCGGTTGGACACAGTGGGATGAGATGAGATGAGGATGGATGCGCGGACGAGGCATCATTAGTCCCGGGCGGGCGGAAGAGAAAAGGTGCTCATGAATGAACGAGTCTCACTCACCATATCGGACCTTGCGGTGAGAGTGAATGATGCGGTTGGCCTCCTCGGGGGTTAGATCATCGATAGAGGCCTGGTCCGGGGTCGGTGTGGTCTGCGACTCGGTCATGATGGCGACGGCGACGGTGACGGCGACTGTCCTTGCATCAGAACCGGTTCGGCGGCGGCGGCGACGGAGGCGGTGGTGGAGGTTACAATCACGGCCACAGGTGCAGCTCGGTGGCTGTCGTGTACCGAGTGAGAGAATCCACAGGCCGTGAGAGAAAGCTACTCCTGATGGGACAGGCACAGAAAGGTGGGAACTCCCCCTTTCGAAGCCCGTCCGCCGGTTTGGAAGGATTTACAGTTCACGGAAGCGACGGGGGGATCGTTCGGGGGCGACGGGCAAACGAGCGCGTGCGTGGGTTTCTCGCAGACGGCGGGTCGTCGCTCGGAGTGCGATTTGTGCAGCAAGGCGGAAACGTGGTTCGGGGACGGCGTGGCGTGCGGTGTCTCTCTCGTTCGGAATGCCGGTATTGGTGGCCGGAGGCGGGTAAAGGATATGGAAAGACAATCGGGCTCTGAAGAGGTTGCGGCGGTTAGGTAAGGTGCGCTGGATTTCTCTTTTTTTTTTCTGCCACCCGGGCGCGTTACCGGCCGTTGAGAGGGAGGAGATGGAGCTTGTTGTTTGCGGTTCGGAGCTGGCTGAGTGTGTGTGGTTCCAATGCGGCTCCTTTGGCGAAAGAGGAGCCTTTCTGAAGAGGGGGCGTTTGTAGCTTTGGGAGTTGGGGATTGGAGGAAAGAGGAGGATGGGAGGGGGTAGGCGAAGCTACAAAGTGCCTTACTGAATGCCGAGATCCCGAAGCGACGGCGAGACAGGTCTTCGCAGAAACAGAAACGATGACGGATGACAGCTGCAAGGCAACGCAGCGCGCGCACGGGTGGGAAGTACTAAAGGAGTTGGAATCGGCGACACCCAGAGTGAAGATTTCTCTAGGAGAGATCGAGGACGCAAGAGGGAAAAAAATAAAAGGGAGAGATCTCAATGGAACACACTGGACACGGACGGGATACGGGAAGCGCAACGAGATGCGGCGGGGTCAAAAGGTGCGCAGCTGAGAGGCGTTGGTCCAATGTCTGTCTGTGTTTCTTCAAGCTCCTTGGGTCCTCTCCGACTGCGCGGGACCCTTGAACTCTCCTCTTAGGTAAGGTGAAGAGCCGTAGACGACTGGATGGATAATCACGGATGATGAGTAAGAATCCAAATACCTAGGTAATAAGGAGAGCAGCTTCGGATCACCAACGCTAAGACCCAATCAGGAATGGTCCTGCTTCGCTCTCACTCGGCAGCCCAGACCCACCCGCTCATGTACCCCACTTTTGACCGCTGTTCCAGTCCTTCGATTCCAGACTCTCGTCCTTCTATTCCTTGCTGTCACTGGATCACCGGACCAACTATGCTGACATGATCAAGCCAGGCAGTCTGATTGGCTATGTGATAAGGAAAAAAATCGCACGGTGACATGCCTTTGCCCGGCTTAAAGTCTCTGTCGTCACCTGGGCGGCGTCCAAGGTGAGTGTCGGTGGACGAATACACATTTCGGTCTGATGTAAGCATTTCTCGTCTTGCATATCATTTTCCATGAGCCGAAATGTGGCCCGCGTTGCGCCACCCTATGCTGTTGCTCGAGTCAGTAACAACTTCAAAGCTGATTTCTTCCCGTGGTCCGAACCGAGCTGATCAAGATAGAGAACGTGATCGCGACACAGATTTTACCGTGATCCGCCGAACCCGAATAAGAGCCGCTGGGCAAAGGCCAAACAAACATTGTAGAGTCTTCATCCGGTGTTGAGACTAAACATGATTGATTAGAAACTACAGAGTACTATTCAAGTCGCCGTATCCATCCAATCCGGCTGCATCCGCCTAGAGCGACGCACTCAGTGGCAGGTCTCTCGATGAGCTTCCAACCCACACCTTCTTCGGGTATTTACTGATGACCCAGTTCTGGCTCGCCGTGTCCCAGTTGCTGAGGTCGCGCCTGGTAATCTGCGCCGTAAAGGCCGCCGACGCGCCGGCTGCAATGGGGATGCGCTCAAATCCGCGCAGGACCTTGACAGGTTCCTCCGGGCCGCCGAGGGAGACGTAGAGCTGGGCAACCTCGTCGCCAGCAATCTTTCCGGTGTTGGTCACGGTAGCAGTCACCGTGTAGAGAACGTCCCAGAGCTGCGGGTTGCCGCCAGGAGCGCCTGATGCGGGGTGCTTGGGCCGAGGGGTGCTGGCAACGGCGTTGGGAGGCAAGAATTCCGCGGCGGTCTTTCCGTAAGTGGGGTCGTTGGCAGACTTACGAACGTCCGAGGTGTTCAAGTAAGGGTAGATGAAGTTGTAGATGTATCGGAACTTGTTGCTAGGGAAGACGTACTCGGCTGGGTTCGTGCTGTAGTTGCCAAATGTGGGTGCTGCCGCAGTCTCGCCGGTTGTCGGCACATATTCGCCCACATTACCGGGAGTGACTACCAAGTTGGAGTATTCAAAGGTCGTGTACGAGAGACCAAAGCCAAAAGGGTAGATGGGTGCCACGCCGGAGCTGTTGGTTCCAGCAGTAGCGCGGTCAAAGTGGCGGTAGTCAATGAAGACACCCTCGGTGAAGTCATCCTGAGGAGCGCCCTGGCCATTGTTGGGCTTGTACAAAACATCGGCACCGTAGCTCTCGCGGTTGGGGCCCCATGTAAAGGGAGACTTGCCTCCGGGGTTGACGTTTCCGTAGAGGACGTCGGCGATGGAGTTGCCCGACTCCTGCCCAGGAAGGCCGGCCCAGACTATAGCTGTGATGTTAGGGTTGTTGTACATATCAGTCAATAGGACTGGGCCGATGGAGTGGATCACAACAATGGTGTTGTTGTTGACCGAGGACACGTTCTTGACAAGCTCATCTCCCGCGTTCCAAAGCGTCAGGTTCTGGCGGTCGCCCTCGTTTCCACCTACGTTGATGAATCCTTCACCACCATTGGCGTTGACAAATACGATTGCCGTAGCGTCTGCCTGTGAAACAAGAGCTTTCGTAGCCGCAGAGTCATAGTTGCTGAGGATGCTCTCGTATCGAGAACCGTCCGCAACAGCGCGAGCTTGCAGCCCCTGATCAGGAGTAACCAGGTAAGGATACTCCGCCGATCCTGATCCCCACGCAGCACCCAGAGTCCCATCGTTGCAGCCTCTGTTGTCACATCCATTGGGGCCCTTGAGGTTGGGTCCGGCATCCTCTCCGATGACGGCCAAGAACTTGGGCTTATTGAGTGGCAAGGCGCCCTTGTTTTTCAACAGGACAGTAGCCTTGGCGCCAATCTCGCGAATCAGGTTAGCGTGATCTCTACCCCTGCGAACATCAACGTGTTTGTTGATGACTTGGGTATTCTCTTTGGCGTAATAGTGGACGGGTCCGATCGTGTCCTTGGTCCACGACGAGAAGGTTAGTTCAGGGACAGATTCCACCTCGAAGCCGACCTTGAAGAACGCAGCCATGATACGCAGAGCCATGTCATCAAGGCGGTATTCAGGAACGGTGCCGTTGAGGACGGCAACGGTCAGGTTGGTTCCCCAAAAGGTAGTTCCGGTGTTGAAGAGAACATCGCCCGGCATCGCCATGTCGAGGCCGGCAACAGCTGTCGCAGCACCCGCCTGTGTTGAAGTCAGTATGGTGGCTCGCATCTAGTCGGAAAAGGGTACAAAGGGGAGAGGGAAGTCTTGTCCAAGTCAATAGAGGAAGACGCACGTGTTGAGCTTGCCTGTGATCATGTTAGCGAATGACTCTCTCCTAATGCTAGCAATGGGAACCACTCACCAATCAGACATGATGAATCCTTGAAAGCCGAGCTCTTCCTTGAGAAGACCGTTGAGAAGCTTTGAGTTCTGGCAACCGTACGAGTTGTTGACTTGGTTGTAAGAGCACATGATGGAGCCAACGCCGGCACGGATGGCTTCGGCAAAGGGCCACATGTAGAGCTCGTGCATGGTCTTGTCGTCAATGTTGGATGAGATCGACTCGGTGATGTTATATCCGTAGCCAATGGCTTCTGGAGCCTGTCTGAAGTGTTCCTGCTCATTGCCGATGAAATGCTTGGCACAAGCAATAGCGTGCTGCTGGATACCCTTGACCGACTCAGCCATGGCAATACCTGTCAGGTAAGGGTCCACGGAGAAGCCCTCCCAGTTGCGGCCTCCAGTCGGCGCACGACCGATGGGACCGGCAACAGGGGCCAGGACAACATCAATGCCTTTGGAGCGGTGCTCGAAACCGATGGCTTCGGCCCTGCGATAGATCAAGCTACGGTCCCAGGTCGCGGCGACAGTTTGGCCGGAGGGAAAGACGGAATTGTAATCGGTGAAACGGATGCCAACGGGGCCATCTTGCATGCAAAGACCGCGAAGACCGAGGCGGGGAACAGAGCCGACATTTCCGACGCAGACATCTCCTTCCCATCTGAAGTCTCATTAGCCATACTCCGTCAGAGAAAAGGGTAGTTTACGCACCCGACTCCGGTGGTCAAGTTGACCTTCTCGAGAAGAGTCAACTGTGAGACAAAGGCCTTCGCTTTGGCGTAGGCATCAGCCCAGCCGTCGGCATTGGGGTCCATCCATGGTGATGGGTAGACCGGGGGAGAGTGTGCGAGGTCGCGCTGTGGGCATGGTGAGTCTTCTGGAGGCTGCGAGAGCTGTGAAAATCCAATGGCCGAGCCAAGGAAGCGAAGGAAATGCATGATTGCGAATTACAACATGGCCGATGGTACGTTGTACTCTTCAGCAGAGTAATAGAAATGACGCCACGGAGAGGGACAGCAGAACCAACAAGACGAGCGAGTGACGAAAAGCAAGACACCTTCCTCCCCACAAGATTCGACGAAAACCTGGCTTCTGCAATTTCTAGGACAGAGCCCTGCTCCAATAATGCCAAAGGGTAGTTGCACAAAAACACGAGAACAACGATCTACCGCAGCGGCAGCAACGTACCTTGTGTAGCTTTCCTTCGGGACCCACGGCAGAAACAACCTGATCAGCCGCCGCCAGGAGGGCGACGACAAGACTTTGTGTCCTCATAATCCTTGATTCTGTTGTCTGTGTTGTATTTCGGAAGAACGACTGGCGGGCGGGATGCTGGTCCTGGTCGAAGTGAATCGGTGACCCGGCGATCAATGGGAGGCGGTCACACTCGAGTGGTCACTGGTAAGATTTCTCGAGTTAGTGTCGAAGTGAAGCTGTAGTCGCTTGGAAGGGGAGCGCAGAGCCTTGGCCAAGGGATTGGATGAAGGCGGGTGCGGCTGCTTTAATGTTGACAGAGGAGCTGGGATGATTGTCCAGGGTAGCTCCTGGAAACAAGCTCGCTCTATCCGTATCCCTCGTATAGCGTCGTCTGCTGTCGAGAACGTGCCGAGGGCAACCAGCTGGGCCCGCAGACAGAGATATTGAGCTGTGCTGGACCTGATGATGTAACAAGGTTTCCCTGTTTATAAGCTGCGGTGGCATGGGACCAGGTTGTGGGCAAATGCAGCACGCTGGACGGATGCTACCCCACCACACCACGAGAAAATTCTGGGGAGCGTTGTGAAGTATCCCACCGCCTCTGACTGACACGCGTGTACCGGAAGCGGTATGCTGCGGAGAGGGCAGTAGCTAGATGCGGAGAAAACGAACGACGACGGTGAGGACAAAGACAAGGACAACTCCAGTGTGCAGGAGCAAGGTCAGATGGAGTTGGAGATGGTGGGCGGTCTCCAGCTTAGACTGGGTCGAGTTGCGCTCGAGGCAAGCTCTAACTCGACTCTGAGAGGGGGCGCCGCCTGAGGAGACTGGAGAGTGCCGTCGAGACAAAAACGATGGGCAGGTCGCATCGTAGAGAGCCAAGGACCGGGGCGGACGCCGTCCCGAGACTGGGGAAAGGCGAGCGGCGTGACTGACATGACTGGGTTAGGTTCGCTGGGACACTACCTTAGGCCCAGAGTGCAGTAATAGTTGGTTTCCGTAATAAGTCATGACGAAAAAGGGCCGATCAGCAAGTGTGTTGACGGGTAGGGCGAGACCAGGAATGGCCGGACAAGAGAGAGATGATGCGACTCGGGGGAGATGGGCAGAGAGTCATTGGGTCTCGGGAGGAGCCACAGGCACCAGAGGTCTCCGCAGAAAGCTGGACGTGGCGGCGCATCTGGTACGATTGTTTCGATGCTGCCGAAATGGAGGAACGAGATGTTGAAGCTCGCTTGCTGTCCGCTGAATGTGATCTTTGCGCTTCGTTCACGCTAGGACAATAGTGGTAGAGAAGGCGATGGGGGAGGAGAAGGCGAGGCGCAGTCAGGGCCGGGCAGGGCCAGGGAACGGACGGGATACCGGCTCTGGGGTACGTACTGACGTAGGTAGTCCGGGAAAACAAACAAATCGGAACGGGTGGGGAAGCGGGGGGCCCCAGGCAGGCACACGGGGAACCTAGAGGGAAACAACGCTCCACTGCGGCGAAGCCTCTTGCCTTGCGTGCGGCGGGCCTCGCTCTCATGTGGAAAGAAGCAATGAGAGAAGATTGCCTCGGACCAGGGACAGCAAGAATCGGTCAGTAAAGCCGGCACTGGGAAGCCTACCGGAAGGAAACTTTCAGATGCGCGGGGAATTCAATGTGGCTGCATGTATCTCGGCAGTACCGTTCCCACGCTAACGTGTTCCTGGTCTACCCAGAGCCAGTCCCGGTCTTGGGTGCTTGGGTGCTTGGGTAGCTTGAGACGGCGCTACGCCTTCCCGCAGTTGGCAATAACAGGCGTTTTCTTTCCTTTCCCCCTCACCGCCGTCCCCAACTTTTCCGAGCCAGAGCCCTTCATGACGGCTTCGATGGGAACTTGGACGTCATCAATTGGTCTACGCACAGTCAACCGGCTCCTATCTCATGATCCTCATCGTCTGCAGCAGCGTTACATCCGTGGTTAACCCAGACGAGCCTTTGTCGGCTGACCGACTCCAGGAACAAGTTCTCAAGGTTCTCTCTCCTTTTGCTGCTGACCCACGACCGAGTCTTGGGCCCGGCATGAGCAGGATTTTGAGTAACTAGGCCGCAGATCGGAATAAACGCCCTCCCCACCACATTCGGCAATTTATTCGCTTGACAGTCATCTTGGTAATTCTTACTCATAGCTATGAAAATGAATTTTCCTGACATGGGAAAATGCAACGTCCCGGGATGGAGGCTCGACGACGTAAACTCAAAAACCGCCCGTACCTGAATCATTTACACTTTGCAATATCCGTCTCTTCTCCTCATACTAAAACCTATGCTTAAACTTGTCTTTTCTATCATCCCAGTTCTCTAGCAGTTGCATGAAAACCATCATGGCTTCCTTCCTACTGACCAGAAAATCCAAACCGTCCAACAAGACGCCACGCCAAACCAACCAACCAACCGACCGACCGACCTCCATGCTGTCGTCGACAATGCATCCCCGCCCCTCACCCACACACTTTTCTTCTTCTTCTCCATCTTTTCAGTCTCCAGTTTGTTCCCCCCTCATGTCCCCCGCATTTCGAACCCAGCCAATCCACTTGGCCCTTTCCTACCCCTCATGTCCTCTCCCATCTCCAGACTCCATTGTCCCCACCGCACCAGCTCCCCATCCCCATCGTGAATCAAGCTTGATCGAATGTTCGGAGTCGCTGTTGATCATGAGCGTTGCCCGCCGTCGCCAAGGAGCGGGGTGTCCGAGTCTTTTCGGCCCGTTTACCACTTTTTTTTTTTTCTTTGGAAGAAGCTTCGTCGCTGTACAATTCGGCCCTCCCAAGGGGGTGTTGGCAGAGGAGGAAGAGTTTGCGTGGATTGCATGACCTCCTGATCAGGAGTAGTAATTCCGATCCAGCGCACCTGTGCAGCTCACAAGGAAGGACGTAACGTTCCACCGTACCCGAATACGCGGGAGATCGTCGCATTCGACGGTTCGTCTGTCCGGTCTCCCTCATAAAGGCCAGTCCAACGGCCATCAGACAGAGATTTACGACGCGCATGGCGAGGTTCGGTGAGAATTAAGCTGCAAAGGCAAAAAGAAGCTTATGATGATTAGACTACCAGTCCAATTCCGCAATTATGCATGTACCCGGTTAAAAGTGAATAAGGCGCCCAAATCCCCATGCCTTGACGGTAGAAGATGGCCACTCCTCAGACCTCAGGTTCTGAACCATTAACGCCACATGCGCAATCTTTTGCCTAACGCCCTTGGCCGAGTGAGCCAGAGCAGACTACCTAGCTAGCGTGCGCTCCGGGTCAGCCCATGACCCGTGTGATCCATCCTCCATGATATCCACCCGCTCCACGACTTGAAGAAAAGGGCCAAAGAGATACCCCATTCATCTGCTTCTTCGGGCCTGCTTTCCGGAGCGTCTTTCTTCTGATATCTCAATAGATGCCAGGCAGGATTCTCCACCGAACAATCTTCTTGTACTTTTCCCAGTCCTCGCCGTACTTGCGAGAACATTTTTCGTCGTCACGGCGGTCGCGGTGAACCAACAAGACGGCAAAGTAGACAATGTAAAAGTACGTGATGGGAATGGCCATACCACGAGCCGCGCCCTGGATAACCTCACGACCATCGGCCATCTTGAAGGCTCCTTCGAGTCCGGCTTGGGCGTATCCAGTGCCGGCGGAGACGATTGTGTACCCGGCCATGCCCGTGGGCAAGCAGTATGGCCAAGCCTGCAGCCAGTCGCCGAGGTAGTTGATATGACGGGCGACTCCCCACCAGCCCGAGATGAGGAGGCGGCTTCCCGTCTTGGTCTCGATGTACTTGAGGTGGGCGACGCTCGGGTCGTCAGGGTTGCTGCGGAAAGCGTTCTTCTGGCTGTTGGAGAGACGGAAGATGGAAAAGGCGACGCCAATGAGTCCGACAATACCGGCCATGCCCAGGGGGCTCATTGAGACTGGGTACACGGCCAAGTAACGCGTTTGTAAGGAGTAGACGAATGGTACCCAGACGAGGTCGCCAAAGGAGAGCATGAAGCCGAAGCCGTCCGTAGTAATGTCAATGGTCGTCAAGATGGCGGGCTCGTTCCACCAGCAGTCAACGACGTATGCGAGCTGGACAGCAGAGACGAATACGCTGCTGTTGGTTACGAAGCCGTAAGTGCGGTATTGTCTGGCCGTCCACGCACAGTTCATAAGAGACCAACCCAGCAGACCAGGTCGGATCTCCAACCACTCCTTGATATCGATTTCGCCCAGAAGAGGGATAGTAACACGGGGGTTAAGCTCTCGTCCGATATACCAGTCGTAGATCAGGTTGCCAGAGTGTCCCCCCGCGGCCAATTCGCGGAGCTCCTTGTTGCCCTGCTTGACGCTGAAGCTTCGTACGTACACAAACGTCGCAATGCCATAGGCTATGAGCATGTTGGCGGTAACGACTTGGATGTAGTTGTCGGTGATGAAGGTCCAAAGAGGAAACTCGGCTCCCTGGGCGATGGTGCCGGCGAAGCACACAGTCAAGATGAACATGCTGGAGGCGAAGGCTGTATCTGTTAATAGGTTGTTGTCTCTTCGGGCTCGGATAGCTTACAATTGCATCGGTACTTGAGTCGGCCACCGGAGGCGAGCTCGACGCCATCCACCTCAGTCGCCGGAAGAATGCGGTAGAGGAGCGCGTTGAAAAGATAGTATCCCAAGACGGCACCAGTAACCTTTGTGTCCGCGAGACCCCAGAAGCCCTCCTCGGGCCATCCGACTTCGCGCTTGAGTCGGTCGAGGTTCAGAGTCGAGGGGCTCAGGAGAGAAGGAGCTGGACAGCCCGACACGTCGTTGCAGCTGAAGGTGAAGAGGTAGACGAGGATCGGGAGACCGAAAGAGATGCCGAAGGCGCCGATACTAGGTAACGTGGATTAGCTAGATAGCGAGAGGACGAGAAGCTGGGTTTCATACGGTCCTCCAAACTCGTAGCCATGCGGCTGTTGGACAGCGCCCTTCTTTGCCTTGGACGCCATGCTGACCGTTTCCCCCCAAGCAAGTACTGTTGAGTTTGGTTGACGGGATGGAAAAGGGGAACAAGCTCGTGCCTTCCTTTGCGTATTTAGCTTGTGGATGTTGGCGAAAGGATTCCCGCAAGGCAAGAGGAAAACGTAAATATTTGTTTGCCCCACCAGCTCAATGTGGAAATACGAATGCGATAGTGACAGCACTGGAGAGCTCAGTATCGACCCCGGTTTCTGTTGATCGCCAAGTGGGCTGTGATGGACTCTTTGCGCCGGGGCTCTGGTCTTCCGGGTGACCTCATGGAGCTCAATTCGATGACGCTGAGGAAAAATGAGCCGTCTCATTGGGCTTGGCGTGATCAGAGTGGGGCTACGAAACGGTCTAGTGTACTGTGTGAGGTGCGCTGTGAAGTACGGCAGAAGGTACCCGGAGCAATGGTTCCACCGAGGCAGGCGGCGCTCGGGGGGACGTTCACAAGCATCGGACGATATCAAAGCCAAATGGTCCGAAGTTAAAGGTTAGGACTAGAAACTTGCGAGTGAATACACTGCCACGAGCCGATAGCATCAATGTTTGCAGGTTCTACTTGATGATGGTGCAAATTAGTGAAAGATTCATCCCGTTTTACATCTGCAAGGAACATTCATGGCACTGGTCCAACTGCAGTGGATTGGATGTATCATAGCCGAGCGGGTCCTGTTACGGGCTGTCGGCAATCGCCAAGAACCGCTTTTATGTAACACGCTGACTAAGATGGCTTTTTGACTGACTGTCCTCCACGACGGCATGTGGAATAAGGATTGGCTCCAGGTGCGACTTCAGCCCACGTGATCTGGAGTTGAGTGGATCCCTCTCCGGATACTGCAGCCTGGCGGCGCTCTACCTCCGGCGGGTGCTGCAAGGAGGGCCCATCCACCAATCAATGCCCACTCTCCGGTCACTCCCGTCTTTCCCTGCAGTTGAAGGCTGACGAATTGAAGTGACCAAGGTGGCATTCGTGGCCAGGCATTCAGTCTTCCTTACTTACTCTTGTGCACCTCGATAATTCTCATTTCTCCCCCAACAGATCCGTGTCCACGTTTTCTCCATTGTTAGGTCTCGTCGCATAGCAGACCAGCTGCGCCATTCGCTTCGATTTCGAGTTCCCAGCAATTGACCAACTTCAATTGGCGTCGTAGGGGTCTTCTCGCGCCCACATCACCCGCCCCCCGCGTGTATGAGGCACCGACGTTTCTGATCCCTCATTCCAAATCATTCTTATCGGCATTGCACCGAAACACAGACATAATCATGCATTTTCCACATTCCTCGACATTCCTCCTCCTCTTCGCAGCTGCGACAGCTCGCGCCGCCGATACCACGACATCTTCAACAACGACTAGTGCACCAGCATGTACAGCGGCATCCAAGAGTGGCAGCGGGGCTTTCTACGACTTGCGGCCGGACATAGCCATCAAAGCAGAGGAGGGCAAGTCGTCCAAGTCAAGCGTCACATCCGACTATCATGCTAGAGGCTGGGACTATGGTCGCAATTTCACCTTGAACATTTGCGCGCCAGTCATTGAGGCACTTGACGACGTCGAAGGCCTGACAAAGAGCGAATCGAAGAATGTTAGCGCGTTTTACGAATACAAGAATGAGGTCTACTCCATCGGGTACGTATCGCGCGAGTGTGTTGGATCGACGAGCGAATGCTGAGAGAACCAATTTACAGGTCATCATCCATGGATATCCAGACTCGCGGGCGCATCCTCGTCCTGCAGTACAAGAACGGTTCCCCGTGCGGCAAGACCAAATCGAAGCGATCCAAAGCCCACGATGGTGCTTCCTACAACAAGTACGTTGACGAAGAGGAAGTATCAGCTCTGAGCGCCTTTGGCAACACCCAAAACAAGGTTGCTGCCGAAAAGGACGATTCCGACTCGACCACGCGTCGCAAGTCGGCCACCATCTCCTTCCACTGCGATACCGAGCAAGTCGGCGGAGCTGCGCACATTTCCTTTGTCGGGTCAGACCCCGATGACTGCGCGTACTTCTTCGAGGCCCGCTCCCAGCATGCGTGTCCCAGAGCCGAACCGCACCAACCCGGCAGCGTCGGTCCCGGCAGTGTATTTGCCATCATCTTTGTCATTGCCGTTCTCGTCTACTTTGGAGGCGGCGTGTTCTATCAAAGAACTGTGGCACATGCGCGTGGTTGGCGACAGCTTCCCAATTACAGCCTCTGGGCTGGTATTTGGGGATTTGTCAGTGTACGTCGGGTTCGCAACTCTGTTTTCCAGAATCGATTCTGACCTCGATTTGCAGGACATGTTCATCATCGCGACTTCTTCTTGTGCACAGCTGCTTCCTGGGAGACGTGGATATAGCCATCTGTCTGGGTCGCCGAGCAGAAGCCGCAACCGTGAGGATGAGAACCGATTGATAGACCAGCTCGACGAGGAGTGGGATGACTGAAGCCATCGGGCGGGGAGTGTATCATAAGCAATTGGGCATCAACTTTCGTTTCCTTTGATTTATACAGATTGCATGTGCGATTGCGTGTTGGAGCTGCGGGACTGTGTTCAGGGAATGTAAGTGAGTCGCAGGCAGTCACCCTAGATACCCCGTGTGAAGGATGCATAGACGAGTCATGAGGTTCATGCGACTGTGTAGTGCTGCCGTGTGCTCTTTTGTAAGTTGCAAATGTCGAACTTGCGGTTGGCGCTCAAATTGGGGCTCCGGTTATACAGCCAGTCGTGTACGATATGGCAAGGAAGTAATGGTACTTGGTAAACAGTAATATGCTACAGAAACTCCGTAGGGCGTTAATGCTGCTACCTTAGTCGTACGATGCTCTCGGAGGTTGGGTGACCTTGACAGGAAAATAACGCAAGAATACGTTGAAGTAGCCAATGATGGCGCAGGGTGCTTCCGACATGCGTCTACGTCCAAGTCCGAGTTGAAGTTTGGCTCCCGGAGATTTCACGACACGCGTTCGGAGACCGAAACCGGGGCGGGACGATGCCCCGCCATCGCCCCTCTTTCCAGCGTGATGTCACGGCGGGTCAGCCCGCGGCGTCGGGCGACGCAGTTGCGAAACGCCCCCTTCAACACCGAGCGCATTTCGGAATCGCTCTTTTCCTTTCTTACTTGATTCTCTGCGCCTTGATTTCTTTCTAGCCTAAAGTGAGACTGAACAAACCATAATGGCGTCAAACAAGTACACTCTGGCAACGCGCCTCACCGTAAGTCCTCCGCCACCCTCGAAAGCCGCTATCCGCCGCCCACGGCTCCGTCTATCCGGGCGCGTGCACCAGCTAACACGGCACTGAACGCGAAAAACAGCTCGCAAATGGCAAGTCCATCCCCCAGATCCAGCTGGGCCTGTACATGATGTCCGGCCGCGAAGCTACAAGGTCCATCCCCTGGGCCCTGGCCGCTGGCTACCGCGGCTTCGACTGCGCTCAGATGTACGACAACGAGGCGGAGTCGGGGAAAGCCATCCGCGATTTCCTGGCCAGCGCGGAGAAGAACACGCAGGGACTGAAGCGCGAGGATGTGTTTTATACGACTAAACTGGCGAGCAGCAGCACGTCGTACGACGCGGTGCGCAAGTCTATCAAGGAGTCTGTCGAGGTTGCTGGGCTCGGGTACATTGATTTGTTCTTGCTGCATAGTCCGTACGGTGGGAAGAAGGCGCGGTTGACAAGCTGGAAGGCGATTGAGGATGCGATTGATGCTGGGGAGGTGAAGATGGGCGGTGTTAGCAACTATGGCGTTGCTCATGTGAGTTGGTTGCTCTGACTTTGAACAACGACTTTTGGAATCCGAGAGGCCGCTGACAAAGTCCCTAGATTGAAGAGTTGATGGCTTCCAAGCCTCGCATCGCACCGGTCATCAACCAGATCGAGGTCCACCCCTTCAACACGCAGACTCAAATCAGGGAGACCTGCGCCAAGCACAACATTGCTATTGAAGCCTATGCGCCGCTGGCCCGCGGCATGCGCATGAAGCACCCCAAGATCCTGGAGTTGGCGAAAAAGTACGGCTCCACTCCGGCCCAGCTGTTTGTTCGGTGAGTTTTTTGTCCATGGTTGATCGCTCTCGCGAGCTAGTCAGCGTGGTCGCCTTATCTGACCATGGGTTTTCCCTAGCTGGTCTTTGGACCGTGGCATGATTACTCTCCCCAAGAGTGTGCGCCAAGAGCGTCTAATCGAGAACGCGAACGTGTCCGAGTACGAGATTTCTCAGGAGGACCTGGCTGCGTTGGATGCGCTTGATGAGCACTTGGTGACCGATTGGTAGGTTTTCCAGAAATGCAAGGGTGTATGCAAAACAATGAGGCTAATGCGATTTGATAGGGACCCAACTGAAGCCCCTTGAGAAAAGTCATTAGAAACATGAAATAGAACAATTTTCTTCCATGAGTTTAAGCTTCTTCACCTGTGGCCAATCAACCACCTGCAGATACCTCAGCTGAACTGGACGGATGTACCACGTGGCTGCAGGTTGCCTACCTCGCAAGCATGAGTGAATCCCCTCACTTTCTGTTTCTACCTGTTTGGGATTATGATAAGATCCAATAGCAAATCTGTCAAATAAGAGAGGAGGTTGATTGTGGGCTACAACAAACGCCTGATATGAGACGACACAGCGGTACATACTGGAATTTGAATACAAAAGTCGACATGCGACTTCTCAACATCACGACTCTCACATTGGAAAGCTTCGTCAGCGGACGACCAGAATATGCCATCTTCTCCCACACCTGGAGCTCGGACGAAATCGTTTTTGAGGACATGTAAACACCCAATCAGGCCCTTGTCCGTCAAAAAGCAGGATGGCCAAACATCGAAAACTCCTATGCACCTTGGACCCGTTACACGACAGAAGGCAGCTACGGTGTATGATTGTGGTGTTGCCATAGGGTCAGATTATTCCGCCTCTCTCCTTTGACGAGAGGCAGGCACTTTGAGAAACTGTAGCAATGCATTGTTTGTATAATCTGCGTCTAGAGGGCAAGGTCCACGAGAGACCGTTCCGAGGAGGACTTTGTCAAATGACGAGACGTAGAATCAACTGAACGAAGATGCTCAAATCGGATAGGAAGCTGCTTGAGTGGGGAACTGGTCAACTAGGAAGAGTTGAGGATGAGTCGAGACGGCTAGTAATGATGCTTCTCTCAACGGCTCTGCAATTGGCCCGTTTGGTCGGAGAAATCATGGATACCTAGGAGTGTGGTAATTATGGCTTCGAAGGTAAATAAAGAGAGTGCATTTCTGTATGAAAGAGTCGGCGCTAAGAATACTGATAGCTTTACATTCGGAACATTAGGATTATGTTTATGTTGCTAAGCTTGGTAATAAGGTCGTGGAAAAATGAATAATAATCCGTGGCATGCTGGAAGCCGGACGCATGGCATATCCCACTCTCTTCGAAGTTAGTTGCTTCGCAATGCCTCCTAGGATCTGGTACGTAGGATCTGTTCCTCTCACGGGAATCCCTCTGGAGACCAATCGTACCAGCCCATGTCCACCTCATCAATGACACCCCATTGCTCAATGAATTGCTTCTTCTTATCTTCCAGACCTTCGGTGCAAAGGATCTCAAACACCGTTCTCCACGCGCTGTTGACGGCGCCAATGATCCAAGCATGGCCCGAGCTCAGCGCCTCGCCCGCAAAGTGCATGTGCCCCTCAGCAGAAGGCCTCATCAACCACGGCAGTGTGCTGCTAAACTGGCCCGGGCCAAAGATGGCAAAGGCGCCGTTGGAGTAGGCCGAGCCATACCAGTCGTATGCGTGGTACCCCTCAAACTGCGATAGAATGAATTCGTGGGACACGCCGTTGAGCTCTGCTAGGTTCCTCAGGGTCAGGTCGACCATGACGTCGATGCTCTCTGGCTGGTACGGTGCCTGTTGCTTGTCGTTGTGCGGGTTCATGTAGGAGCCCAGTCTGGAAGCGTCCTGGCCCCAGACGTAGCTGGCAATCATGGTTCCGGGAGCGCCTGGAACATCGATGCCGTATGAGGGGTAGACACAGCGGCGGATGGGGAGATCGGTGAAGGACTGGCCGCCCTTGAAAGGGCCGGTGGCGAGGTTTTCCCACCTGAGCGGGGCACGTTAGCTTGGAATCTTCCGACTGGGACTATGATAATACAGCCAACTTACCATCGCGTCTTGAACTTGAATCCAATCTTTGTCGAAGGGTCGTAGCTGTCCAGGATGTTATCAATTTGGACTTTTACAAAAACGAGGTTCCTCGCATTGAGGCTAGGTAGACTTGCTTGAGAGTGCGAATGGCATTGTTTTCGAAATAACTGAGGTCAAGTTCAGTCATGTTGATGGCCTGAAGGGCACCCAACGGCACAGTCGAGATGACATGGGCGTAGTCGTACTGCTGGGTGCCGTTGACAACAACCTTCAAAGAACCGTTGGAATTCTTCTTGATGTCGGAGACCCTGTTGTGCAGCACGGGCTTGTTCTTGACGATGAGATTCATACCCTTGGTAAGCATGTCCATACCACCGTTGATCAGCGACCACTCGCTAATGTTCGCGCTGTCAAAGATCCATTGCTCCAAGACAGCTTGAGACATGGAGTACATGTCGTAGTGGCCCGTGGCGTCGTTGATGGTCTCCATCCAGTCGATCTCGGTGTTGGTAAAGCCCTGGTCCAGGAGAAATTCCCGAACCGTCAGGGAATCATACTTCATGAGGAGGTTGAACCCTTTGTCGAAGTTCGCCGAGAGCGCGGTCGTCATCGTACTGACTTGGGCCGTCCACACATCATATGCAGACTGCGTATCAAAGGTCGAGTTGAAGACTGGAACATTGTACCTGCTAGGGGAAGCAGAATTGGGCTCTTGGAGAAGAGAAGTGATACCGTTGTACCGCCTAAAGGTGTTATCCGCCTTGAAGATGTAATGTTTCTTGACTACCTGGTCGCGCTCGGAGACCCTCGCGTTGATATAGGGGATGAGACTCCACGAGTCGTTTCCGATAATCCGGCTCATGTAAGGCATGGGAGGGAAGCGCATGGCGCCAACGTCCTGTATTGGTCGTATTAGCCAGTTGATGGTGGTGCTTGGTAACTTGCCAACAACTCACGTAGTAATCATAGTAGGCCGGGTCTGCAGGCGTTGACTTGTCCCAGGTCTCTTGATCGAAATGGTAGGTGTAGATTCTGCCTCCAACTCGACTGGAAACCTCATGGATATCGTAGTCGATCCCGAGAGAGTCAAGCAGAATTGCAGCATAGAGCCCTGCAGCCCCTGCACCAATAATGCCGACCTTTAGAGGAATATCCTTTGGCGTTGGTACTCTGCTATGGTTGCTGTAGTTCGAATCGTCCACAACCTTGCGGAAGAAGGCTGCGCGCGGATTTTCGGCGGCAAGCTCGCCGTCGTTGCAGATATTCCTTTCTTCCAGCTGGACTGGCTTAGTCTCCGGGGCGGGTAAAGCGAATGACTGTGCCAACAAAAGGGCGGTGACGAGAGTGAGTTTGGTAAAGAGTGACATTGTCCTGACGGTAAAGACTGTGTGGTGGCCGGCGTGGCTTCGTACGACGTTGAGCTGGTTTCTGCCTGTTTACACAACGACGATAGCAACAGCATCGCCACCTTAATTTATATCCATGGTTACCGACCAATATCTTCGTTGGATTGTTTACCTTCGGATATAGGATCAGCATTTCAACTGAGACTAAAGAATGCCAAATTGGTTCTCCGGGTCAATGGGTTGTTTAGGGCTTGCCTGTCTTAAACCCAAGTCTTGTTGAATTCCAGACTTAATTCCTCTTTTCCAGTCTCAAATCCTGACACGCGCTTTGGACCCCTTCCCACTGGAATGCTGTCCGGGAATCGAATGTTCCCCGCAAAATCACGATTCTTCCAAGCAGTTGGAAGCGCAAGGCATGGTGGTTATTTCCCAGCATGTCTTTCTTTGAGCTGTCGAGGTCACAGGGCTGAGCTTCACATATCTTCCTGCAGCCACAGTAAATATCTTGCCTTCAGCTGTAAAACCAGAAAGAGAATAGCGCCACGTGCTTGAACCATCACAGGGAGATGGCTGAATCCTAAAGCGCGAATAGCCTTCGGCGCGAAGTTGGATTTAGGATTAGCACTCTTTGGGAAACACCCAGTTGTCCCTTCTCACGAAGGCACGGCTTGACTGGGAATTGTCAAACCGAATTGCCGCGTGTAGAGTATAGGAATTCGTGTCACTTGGCGGGGTGATTTCTCGGATGCAGAAGGCAAATCAAACATGTTCTCTCGAGTTGAGGAATTGGGCGACTACTCATAACTACAGTATTTGCGGAGACAATGATGCCATCCGGTGGGCTACTTTCGTTGTGCGCATAGGTCAAGCGTAACAGTAATGTGAAGCAGCACTTGTAGAGGATCTTATAACGTCTTGTAACGCATCTACTATCCCTTACTTAGTAGCTTGCTAATGCTTTGTGATGTGTAACAAGATCTCGGTACGGATGCATATCGTACTAGAAAGCCTCTATTCTGAATTAGAGATGGGTCTAGTTGTAAACAGCTGTTATCACGGCGATAACTGTGTCAAGCGTCGGATTGCCAATCCAAAAAAATCCGTGTCCGTGTAGCTGTCCTGCGACGTGGGCAGAACACGCTGTTATTTTCTCATAAACTTATTATTAGCGGTAAATCCAAGACATTTAGCTGCCGAGAGGAGGGGCACAGTGCCGAGTCTAGTGGACCGTATCATTAATCAATCAGCAGCCGGAACCTTCTTTGTTAGCGTTGCCCATCTTGCCTCTAATGCTCTACCGGAAGCAAATTGGGCCCGGAAGTAGTTTGATGCCGAGCAGACGCGGTGGGTTGTACAATCGTGTGAGATCTCCATTTATTGCGCGATGGCTCGGTGGAGGCGGGGTAGAGTATGAGACAGCTGTCCACCAACAAAGCATATAAACAGCACGCACCCGGCCATTTACCATCAAAAAAGAAGTCTCATTATTCACAGTTAAATAACGTCCTACATAACACCTTTCAGACCTCCACCTATTTAAAATATCATACACTCTCCAACCGTAGTATACGTCCTCGATATGTCTGTCATTAAGAAGGTCGCAGTTGTCGGAGTAAGTTCACCCATTACATCACTCAATATTTCGGAGTTAATTCCGACAGGGTTCGGGCAACCTTGGCCCCAGTATCGTCACCGGCCTCCTCGACGCTGGCTTCGAGGTCACTGCAGTTTCCAGAAAGGAGTCCAGCGCAACCTTCCCCGCTGGCGCTACCGTCAAGAAGATTGACCTCACCTCGACCGAAGCTGTCACAGAAGTTTTCAAGGGCCAAGACGCCGTCGTCTCTGTTGTTGGAAATGCCGGATTCGGCAGCCAAAGGCTCCTCGCCGATGCTGCTCTCGCCGCTGGTGTGAAGCGCTTCATCCCCTCAGAATTCGGAATCAACACCCGCAAGGCCCGCGACACAAAGATTGGCGGCATCGTGGCTCCCAAGGTTGAGACTGTTGATTACTTGATCCAGCTCGCCGAGAAGAACAGCTCTTTCACCTGGACTGGTATTTCCACCGGACCTTTCTACGACTGGGTAAGCTCATTATCACCGGAACCTGCATGAAGCGAATTCAGAGTACTAACTGAACACAGGACTTCAGCGGTGGTGTCCTTGGCTTCGATCTTAACAACAAGACGGTCAAGATCTTCGACTCTGGAAACGAGCCTGTCACACCATCCACTTTCTCCCTTATCGGAAAGTCCGTCGCGGGCGTGCTGAAGCACCCCGAAGCGACCGCCAACAAGTACATCGAAGTTGCATCTTTCACAACTACCCAGCGAGAGTTGCTGAAGATCATCGAGGAGTTGACTGGCTCCACTTTCACCGTCAGCAACGTCAAGACCTCGGATCTGGAGAAGATTGCGGACGAGAAGCTGTCCAAGGGTGACTTCAGCGCTTTCATCGACTTGCTGCAGCAGTACAGCTTCGCTGATGGTAACGGCAATGCCTCAAAGGATAACGCTGCCGTCAAGTTGTTGGGTCTGCAGGAGGATGATATCAAGGCCGAGACCAAGAAGGCCCTGGCCTTGTGGAAGTAAATCATCCATGATTGATGAAATCAACTGGATAGTACAATAAAGGCAATAACTTCTTAGATGCATCGTATTTATTCCAGCTGCAAAATTGTGAAATTCGGGAGACTAAGCTTCGGTATTAGCGTGGTGTGGTGTGGACAGCGGAGCTGAAAGAGGCGGCGATGTGAAGAGTACGGTAATCGCTGTAGGGTTAGATTGTCAACATCCAACCAAGTAAGCCTGCCGCTATGAACCAAAGCAAGTTTGACGTAAGTAATAAGCAACGTCAAAGCTTGCGAGTCTACAATGCTGCAGAAAGTTTTGGAGAAAGTTCAAACAGCGCGGTAGATGAACCAAAGTCTGAGACTGATAACGTGTCACGTGCATGTTCCATTTACGCTGCTCAACGCACCTTCGTCTGATAGCAAGGCAGCCATAATAGCAGGTGTTAAACTCAATCAGCTCCAACTATGCCGTGACCACCCACCCAGTCCGGCCAGTCCGGTGGACGAAAAGAAGGGCACACCTCCATCCTCTAACTGTAGTGCCACTTTCACTATAAACGTTGTGACTTGAGATATATTATAAGGACTAGATATAAATTGGTATCGTAAGTGATAACACATAATTCAACATATTCTGTTTGTGTTTGATTTCATTTAATTATATACAAGAAACATAATTTGAAAGTGACGACGAAGATCCATGTAGCAATTTACTCGTGTGAGCCGTAAAGTTTGCCCTTTTTTTTTTTCCCGCCGGGTGCCACCACAATCAACCCTCGGACCAAACAGCGCTTCAATTTCGGGAGAAGTCTATCTCAGACCCTACCTAAACTTTGCCACGAGGCTTGCCTGCATTGTTATGATTTTTCAACTTTGCAGCCACAAGAGGTCTGCTTGTATGCATCACAAATTAGGTTTGCTTGCTCCGCAAACTCAACAACGTCATGATTTTCATTGAAAGACTTTTATATCTGCAGTATCCCACTCCACCATGATGGCCTATGTGGTGCTGTAATGCTTGTCCCACCGCCTCCGACATATTGCAAACATGCCTATCGAGATTCGGACTGCGCTTGAACGTGATCTCAAGCGATGCGCAGAAATTGGACACGTAGCCTTTGGGAAATGTGCATTCAATAAAATCATGTTTCCTGGTTATGAACCGAAGGATGGATTCTTGGGGCTTCGTACAACCGACCTCGTCAGGCAACTTCGAGATGATCCGACCGTTCGAATGTTTGTAGCAATAGACACGGAACGAAGGAGTGGCTGCGAAATTGTTGGGTTTGCCAAATGGCACGTCTACCAAAACGGTATGCCGTCAAGCAAAACGAAGCTGCATTCCTGGGGAAGTAGCTGTAATGTGGAGGCCTGTAATTTGGTATTTGGCGGCGTGGGGGAAATGCGAGACCGTTTGATACAAGGCAGGCCTTGCATCTGTAAGTTGTCATACTGGCCTTACAAACATTGCTAACGATCGACAAATACAGATCTTCATATTCTAGTGACAGAACCCCAGTATCAACATCGTGGCGTGGGGCAAAATCTTCTCGCGTTTGGTATTCAGGAGTCTCTTCGACTAGAACTTCCGGCTTACCTCGAGGCAACGGAGGCTGGCCATTCTCTCTACCAAAAAGCCGGTTTCGACGACGTCGAAGTACATCGGGCTGACTTGACCAAGTTTGGGGGGCATCGTCCTTGCATGACATGGGGAATGATTCGAGAGCCATACTCCTGGTTTCCATAAGGGGCTTGCAAGTATTTCACCACCTGCGAGATAGTAATAATGGAGGAAATATGAAATGAGAAGAAGTCTACTGCAAACAACTATCCATATTAGAACGGCATGATATGCTGCCATTTTCCCATACCTTCCGATGCCGCGTAAGGATCCACGACGATGCGCCACGGACGGCTGAAATATCAACACCTGTTGACCCGAATGCTGCCGTTCGCTTCAGAAGTATAACCATGCGAGACATTTGCTTGAACGGCTACGTGTATGTGGGTAGAGCGCGAGGGAGAATTTGGCGAGGAGGTCGATCATGCCAGCCTCATTGGAAATCTGGATGCCGCGGAGGAATATCTCATGGTCTTTTCACATGGCCTCCTATTATAACTTCTCTACGCCTCGACAAGGTCGTGCCTGAAAGAGTAGATGTAGATGATGGACCTGGATCCACATTCGTGATCCTCCGACTCTGGTTGATCAGATGTTACGCCCAATATCCCATAGGATGTGATCGCAGCTTAGCTTGAGAATTTTTCGTGGACTACACCTCGGGATTTAAGGGGAGAGAGGCAATTTTTCTGCCCGGAACGTGGGTGATTGTTGCGCTCGGAATGTGGGAGAACAGACTCAGAATACCCGCCTCGTCCGATTCAGCCTACCGGGCTGCCGCCAAACCCCTACTCACACCGAGGCTCTCGCCCGGATGGTCCCACCGAACTTCCCGTTACCGACGTGTTTGTGGACATGTGAGCGTCGCCGCTGACCTCGCTAGCCTCCCCTGAACGGGTTCTAGAAAGGATTGCCCCTCTCTATAAAACATTGCAGGAGGTGCGAATGGAACGAATACGACTCATGAACTTTACATCTGATAGCTTAAATTGCGACTAGCTCCAAGGCTGACTTAAAGATATGGCAGCTTTTACTGTGGATTTCATTGGATGCCTTTCTGTCCATCCGCAAGGTAAAGTCAAGAAGCAGGGATCCACCGTGCCAGGAGACATTACCGAGGTGATCGCGCTGCTTAACGAAAATCTCGTTCGAAATAGGCATTCCGCTGTCCCATTGAAGAAGATATTTCAAACTTTCCTCCAAGTATAAGAAGTAGAAAAAACTTGAAAGAGGTTGAAAACAGTTCTTCGACGTCAGACCTAGAGCACTGATTGAAGTCGACTGAATGCATATCCTGGAATCTTTGAGAGTAAAATTGGCCGTCCTGCAAAGACTTCAGAACACCGTGGTCCTTCGGTCACTCCAAATTGCTTGCAATCGATTGGACCACTTTTTTGCTGACATGAGACACGGAACATCGATGGCCAATATAAAGCTTTTGAGCGGCTGCTGATATGGGCCAGACAGAGGAAACGCTGAAAGGTTTCGGTCTCAGTCACCACGTTTTTTCACTGCCTCGGAAGGCATGCAAGAGTGGACTGAGGAATGAATGGCCAGAAGATTCAGCGATCTAACGGATTTCCTTGTAGATCTGGCCACACGTCCAACAACTAGTTCCGACGAACTTCTTATTCAGATGAATATACTTGTGTGGGACATTGATGTCGTCGATACTGTTGAGATTAGCTATAACAACGGCACTAATGTTCTCAGATAAGGTACATGCAAGGTGCTTTGAGAAAGGATTGCCAGAATATGGTATTAATGTGGTTATATTCCCTGTGGACGAAAATTAGCCAGATCAAATTTAACAATGATGTTCAGGGCTTGAATTGTAGATTTTGACCATCTTATTGTCATGAATTTCTTTGTCTTCTATTCTTTGTTCTTTAGAAAATCGTGAATGTTCCCTCGTTTTTTCTTACTGCCTTGAGAATAATGAGTCGTTTCCTTCGAGTTTTGCTTCGGATTTCTAACAGACAGTAGTTTATACTAAACGCCATAATGTCTTTGACTTTGGTTTTCTCGTACACAATTACTTCTCGAGCTCATAACTTCAAGTATAAATTTATTTCGAAGCCGGTATCTGGAGTATTGATTGAAGTATTTTAACTCTCAATTGTCGCCAAGGAGCTTTCGGCTCCGCAAGAGATACCCCCGAACTGTACTCCGTCTGAGAAACAAGCTAATCTTCTGCCGAGCCAGTAGAAGCTCGCCTTTGCCATGTCGTCCAACCACCCAATCAGTCCATCGTCGATGTATTTTGAGACCCTCAGAAGGACTTTAACGGAGAATCCCAGGTTGTGGAATGGGCTGAGGCTTGACTGCGTCATCTGCAGAGAGCGTATGAGGCTTGTTGGCAACGGACTGCCTGCCCAAGATGCTCGTCCTGATGGACTAAGCTCTACGCATGGGAAGATCAACGCCAACGACTTTGAGCGTCTCCGCCCAGTGTCGGGCAGAAATGTTGCAATCGTCCTACCGTGTGCTCACATATTTTGCAGAGAATGCCTATTCACAGTCTCTTACGCAGGGTATGACATGCTTGATTTTGTCCCCGGAAACGTGGAAGCGAAGGCCGATCCTGTCTGCCCCGCTTGTCGACTGACACTCGTCTTTCCTGAATGCACTTTTCGTTGCCGCTTTCCTGGCATACCCTTCCCGCGCTCAAGCGCCGAAATGAGTATCTTTCCTCCTACACTCCAAGGAGGACTAATGCATGCCCCCCACAGATGCAACTCTTGTCGGATGATGAGAGCCCAGGATGACCTGCAGCAGCAAGTTGATCATGTCATCACCACCGCGTTGCCCTATGGCAATAATAGGGTTGTCGATGTTCACACCACTATCATGAATGAAGAAAGCCTGCGGAACACGGAGCCGTACCTAGATAATACTTTTGGACAAGGGCTTGACCAAACGGCACACGTTATACGTGATATAACTGGACGGCACCCATGGTCAGGACCACAGGCTGTTGAGCAATTTCGATTCATTCTCAAATGGCGTCCATAGTGACTGTGAGTGCAGGTAGGTACAGCAGAAATCCACTATATCGCAGAGTTTCTGCCGATTTTAGAACATTACCAGGGGCTTGTTTTGTCTTTCATTTATATAAGGTAGTTCATGAACACACATACATGTATGGTTTTGGCAGGTTACATCAGTGCTCTGATGACTCATTGAGAAACATGATTGATTTGCCATTGACAGCTATGTTCGTTATTTGAATAGCAACAAGTTTTGTACGACGTATAATAAAAAAAGGTGTTCATGTCCTTTTGAACGGTATCCCACGTTTGATGACGGTCCGATCGAAAGTCAAAGCACTTCTTGGAGGGTCGGTCCACATCTGTTAGTCTACCGAATGGTAGTGGGCTGGTCGCCTCATCGAGAACTGCACCAGTCCCATTTTGAGAAACCTTGCACCGCATATCGACGCCTCATGCGCCAACGTACCAAAGAGGGTAACGTTGCCCGACTACGTCCCACCGATGGCAGTTTTCAAGCTTTGGGGCTTGCGACACCGGGGAGGGGAGGAGTGCCATGAAGCTACAAGTGGACGTGTGACTGGCCAGTGACGTTTCCGTGTGAGCCCAGCACGCCGATCATGGCTTGCGGGGTCCTCCGTGGGCGGAAGGAGAATTTCTGAGACCCGAGGCTGACACGAATATATGCAGGTGATCACTTATCGAAAAGCCATATTTCCCCGATAACGGTTTACCAACAGGGTCCTCTATTTCCCCAAATACAATTTCAAGAATATTATACGAGGGCTCAGCCACGGCCGGCAATCCCGACAGAGCGGTCTGGAGGGATGCTGGTGACACAGTGACACAGTGCGGCTGTATGCCCGAAAGCTTTGTTTGCTGCAGGATTCGGGTGTGTACATACAAGTAAGACCTATGTAAGACCCAGCTTTTCGTCATATTGCTCGTTCGTATTCCCAGAGGTGGACACTTGCGGTCAGGTTAGGCCGATGCAGGAAAGCAAACGCATGATCACGAAGAAAGGACGGAACATCAACGTCGTCAGTGAAAGATATCAAGAGGATTGGCCGAGATGAAGCGTAGTATAAATCTAAGTGAGGCGTCCTCTCCCATCATGCCGGTTCTCTTCTCCTCATCGCTCCATCCACTCTCAGCCCTCGGACCGTCCAAACACCACTTGCACCAACAAAAACAGACCTCAACGCTGCAGATTCAAACTCTGTTTCATTCAAAGACTTATTCAAGATCCCTTGAAAACCCTTCCGAAAGAAAACTTCAAACCTTTTCATCCGTTCTACCATGCATTCCTCAACAGTCATTGCAACGGCAGCCGCCCTCTTCCTCGGAGCCGAGGCCGGCGCCGTGCCCCGTCAAGATCCCCACATCACCGACTTCCGAATCTGGAGCGAGCAGGGATGCGGAGCGGCCGGCAATCTCGGCGTCTGGACAATCACCAAGTCGCAGACCGACGTGTGCCAGACAACTTTTAACGCACCGGACAATGTCGTCAAGGCGATTCGTCTTAGCAGCCTGACAGATGGCTGTGAAAGTAAGACCCGAGTCCTCCATTTTTCATGAAGGATATGACTAACTTCACCCAAGTGATTGCTTACCCTAACGCTGATTGTGGAGAGGGAGGTCGCCAAGTCGGCGTCCAGACCTGCGAGGAGTGGAGCGATGTCGCCGAGAACTTCTTGAGCTTCAAGGTCATCTGCTCTTAGTCTTTTATGGGCAGCGACTGGGATTCCAGCATTTTCTGGCGGTTTTCATCGTTTTGGTTTTTGGACAATAATACGATGCGTGCATGGTTCGGAGTTGGACAAAGACACGGCATAGTGGAACGCTCCTTTGGGATAACGACGAACAAGAATATTCGCCAATTACATAGCATGGCATAATGGTAATACCCTCATTAGATACTTTTCCCCAACCGAATGTTGTCAGTCTTGTACCTGTGTTCCGAAGTATCAATCGTCTCAGGACAATTAAGGTAGTTGAAGACGAAAGCACTTTGGCTTTACTGCTGAGAACATGAATATGCTACTCGTCGAAAGCGTCACGCGTGAACGCGCCTGGGTAAGGTGATGAAAGTACTAAGCAAACATATGGTGTCGTGGTGAACCTCACTCCTCATTGGTCCCCGAGCTCATAGGCAATCGGCGACCGCTTATACTCGCCCAAAACAAAGATGTCATTATTATTTCAAATCAACAAACCCTATTGAGAAAATATTACCAAGGTCACCTACGGGGGACAAAACAAAAAGCCGCTTTTCCTTGGCTGGTATGGGTATGGGGAAAAGCGGCCATTTGTTCTTTCCACCGGGTGGTCCCTGAAAGCGAAATTGTCATAGCTCGGACCCTTGACCGGGAGACGGCTCTGAAGAGTTTGGCGCATGTCCCAGAACGGGAGAGTCTTGAATGCATGATGTCAAGAAAGCCATAGTAGCGGCACTAGCGGCGCTTCATCGTCATTGCGCCCAGTGCGCACCTCGAGCTACATATCTATGAGCTTTTCGCAAACCATCAAGACCTTGTTCTGGGGAGACCTGGACCTTGAACCACGCATGTACAGCTTTTAAAATTCAATCCTTACCATCAGGAACTTGAATTATAGAATCGACCGACCGCGAACATGAGCTCTCAACCAATTGGTCTGACGACGATCCCCAAGCTGCTGCGTAAGTGATAGATCCTGAATAATAGCTGTCTTTCGCAATTTTCTCAGCAGCTAACTTCCACCTGCCGGTACATGTAGCTGTCACGGGCACATTTGCGCTGCCATTCACAATCTACTACGCATTTCTTAGCCTCCGCGTCGTCAAGGAGCGCGTGAAAGACAAACAATACCTGGGCGAAAACTCCTTGAAGCCCGGAGCGGAACCCGAAGCGTACAAAAGCAACACGCTCTACCTTGCCGGCCGTTCGCATATCAATTTCGTCGAGAATGTGCCGCTCGCTTTCATCCTCGCCTCCTTGATCGAGGTCAATGGCGGCAACCGCAAGACCCTGAGCTGGTTGCTTGGGAGCTTCCTCGCCTTTCGCGTGCTGCACGCCGAGCTGGGGATCATGAAGCCCGACGGCATGGGCAAGGGCAGGCCCGTCGGCTACTTCGGTAGCATTGGCGTTCTCGGTGCACTGGCGGGCTACGGGGCCTTCTTGGTCAAGGGATATTGGGGATGCTGATTCAACCTCTCGTTGCTGTCGTCCTACTCTTGAAATTGTAGATGGTGTGGAAACAATACAAAATCGAATGTCACTACCTCATCCTTGAATGTCAAGGTCATCAATTCGTGCTGTAATACTGCCAGGGGGCTGCGGGGCAGTACGGTCTCTTTCACTCCTGCAGCGTTATGCGATAAACGAGTAAGGTAGCTATGGAAATGGAAAATCAAGGGGCCAGAAAACTGCCTGAGGCTGGTGAGTTTACATTTTGATGTAAGAGTTGCAGGCTGGTCATCTGTAGTCTTTTTCAGTCTGCAGCAGTAATCAAACCGCGGCTCAACCACGATAGTCATCTGAACTGTAAGATCGGATTGTTCATGGGACTCTTCGCGAGTAGTTCTCGAGTCTTACTATGTATAAGAGCTGCCGAAGGTCATCAAAGAGCATTTGATCTACTTGTAATCGCCAATGTTTGGATGACTGCGGTGTAGGTACCGCCGACCTGGCTCCTGTTAAAGGGCAATGTCTGCTGTCACCAAAGAAATGTGAGAATACCGAAACCATCGACCTTGGCCAGTCAGCACAATAACACCGACGATGCCCATGGACGAGAACCGAGTATAGTTACGTCTTTGTGAGCAAAGGCCAGTCTACTCATACTTTGGATACCCTTGGCTGGTGCTTTTTGCAGGTTGACCGGTCTGTTCTCTATGTTACTTTACCTTGTACTTCAATCATAAGCTTCAATTACAATTGCGAAAAAGCGAAGCGATCGTACTGGGATGCCCCTCCGATGGCATTACAAGAAGTATACTGTGTTCTTAGCTTGTTGGCAGCTGCATGAACCACATGCCGCATTTGTAGTCCCCAACCAAGAACAACATTTTCTTACTGAAATTGTCAGAATGAGTTTGGCTCGAAGATTCTGGCCATCAAGCCTCGAGAATTGAGCGAGACCACCGCCGCAGTCAGCCCCCCTGCTTCAATTGTCCCCCGCAGACTGCTTATCTGAGATTCTGCTAGCCCTAGGAGATCATTTCATTCATCGTCTTGGTAGAGGAATATCGTCGAGGCCAGGCTCAGCTCGGCTGACATGTCAGGGGGCATCCCCTGATATCCTCGACCAAATGCTGGTCTCACCACGCCCAAAGTTCACTAGGCCTGATTGGTCAAAAAGACAGGCATCGCCGTGGCTTGGAGACCACGAGGACACTACCTACTCCGCCCTCCTGCTTCTCTGGGTGTCTGCCTAATTGCCCACCGTAGGCCTCTCCGATGATATGTGTGCTCCGTCGCGCAGTCCTCTACAAAAATTCTGCCCCCCATCTTCACAAGTGCACTGTTCACGCTCAACTGCATTGCTCAACATTTCAACGCCTGAACAAAGCCCTAGACTTTATTAATCAATCGCACTCCGCATTTTTTCAACAGCGACCACATCACTCTTGAGACGAAAGTCTCTAGCTCTTCAACTTTGACGATGCGCAACCCATTCAAGCCAAGACAAGCGCCAGCTCAGAGCTGGGCGAGGAGATCATCAGTCCTATCTGCCGACGACCCGGTCTTCAAAGACGTTGACGAAAGCGAACGCAAAAGCATAGAGGCCAGCACAGTAAAGCAACAACAAAAGAGCCCACAAGACTCAATTAGAGAACCGTTGAAGCATTCCGGTGGGGATGATGCTGTCGCCCTGAGCGGGGGATTATCTTCTCACGATAGCGACAGTACTAATGCGGGCCATGATTACGCCGCAATCGCTGGGTCATTCGCTGGCGCCGACTACTCTGGACAATGAGCTACGCAGAAAGAATCGAATTTATTCGCAAAGAAGCTCAGAAACAACGGGGAGGTGCATAGGAGAGAAACGGGTCTGGTTAGGAAATGGACTGGCGGCGCGCAAGTGAATTCTTTGTTTAACGTGTCGGATTGGAAGCCCAATTCGACCTCGAGTCAGCGCCAGCGCAGGGGCCATCTGAGGGTCTCTATATCAGCGTTTGACCGGCGATCCAACCAACGGTTGGAACCTCTCTTTTCCACTTCACGCAGAGATCAATACAAGAGTAATTGACCCTTCGTCACCACGGTTCGATCGAACAAATCACCCTGTGATTACGTAAACCAACAAACGAGCGCAAGATACCCATATCACTCAATACCAGACGGAAATTTGAACAGCCAGTGGCACTCAGCAAGTGATGTACACAGACCGCGCCCCATCCGTCAAATAGAACTGCCCGTCTTTATTGGCAACAGGAACGCAAACATGATCCTGGTACGGGTTGACCGTGCTGACCGTCGCCTTTCCACTGCACCCGGCGTTGGCCCAGAACTTGAGCTTGCAGACATTTCCGCCCTGGTTCTTGAAGACCGCGCCGTATACATTTCCCGAGAAGTCTTGGCACCGGCCAGAGGAGACGACGAAGTTGTTGGTGAAGGCGCCCGCGCAGCCTCCGTCGTGGAAGACACCGAGGTCGACGGTGTCGCGCTTTTGCAGGGTGGCGGGGGTAGCGGCAGCTTGTGCTCCTAGGCCAAAGATGACGGCGGAGATAACTTGAGTGAGTTGAACCTGAATGAAATGTTGATATATGACTCTTGTACGAGTTTACTGCGCGTGGGTTTGATTTACCATGATGAATGCTGGAACTTGTCTTCGACTGCTTTGGCTCCTTTGGCTGAGATATTTAACAAATCCAAGTTTTTAATGTTGTCTAGCCATGGCATTTGATATAGATTCAACATAGTTGAATGACTTATATTTACAATTCTACCAGCCGAGGAGACTTGTGACTAGTAGTCCCATGCGATATGATGGTGGATAGCTGTTCACAGCGGACTCCACCAGCAGAAAGTATTAGCGGAATTCCGCGGCCTCATCTAAACCTTTATTTAGTTACTAATGATAGGAAAGAGTTGATCTCATTAGCAACCGAAAAGAGTGTGAGATCCACTGAAAGTCTGGAGCTGTGGTACGACTAGAATAAATGTCTCAGTCTCCTGAGCCTGCCGTTACTGTGTTTATAGTGGTGCTGACTCACCGACTCTTCGGAGAGCGGTGCTTGTTACTCAGCACCAATGCAACGCAACATGTTTTGAAGGGCATTCAGAATGTGCTCCTAGTCAACCAAACACTTCACCAGGGCGGTCATTTTCTGACGTGGGGCTCGGTCAACACCTGGCTTATCTCCCATTGTACGTACAAACAGATGGTTGACATTTGGTATTACTGGGAGATGTTGCAATGTGACAAGTGATGCGGCACGTATTTGTTGAGTAATGTATGACCGCAGAGAATCCTTCGCATAGCCTCAATTCCTGACCTAAAATAATGTGGAGAGATGTGACGCCCACAGTCTATAAACACAAGCATATGTACTTAGTCATTATATTTAATATGCTCAGATAGGCGCTGTGAAATGACGCTACAGTTCTCAAGCGCCTAGAGTCCCAGTGCTCGGCTGCGTTCTTTCAATCCTGGAAATAATTGACCTTGAGTAATCGTACATGCTGGCACGTCAGCGTTGTGATTCTAACCACAGCATCTGGTTCCGGAGCGGTCCCTTTACTTTCTTTGAAATTGGCAACTAGAAACAGACCACATTGATCAAATCCGGCCGCTTTTGATAAATAAAAAAAATTTGGCCAGGTTGAATGAGCAGCGATTATGCGGGGTGAAAATCAACTATTCACACTCCAGGTTCCTACGTCAAACAAATTGCAATCATCACTTTGTGTGTATCAAGTTTTCAGAGGGAATCTGACCTCATTTCACCCTAATCTTAACCCGCTTTAAGTTGCCCAGCAAAAGGACTGCGGCCCCTGATCTTCTCCCCGTAAATGCATAGCAACCAAGGAACCAGCGAGAGAACCAAGCCAATGCCGCCGAGCAGACTTCCCGCAACACCGTATCCCAGCTTTTGGAACATGGTGTTTGTGAACAAAGGGAAAACGCCGGCAAGCAAGTTCCGGCACATGGACTGTGCTGCGAGAGCGGAAGAGGCGTACCGGTGGTAGGCATCCGCCAGATAGTTGAAAACGGCCAGGTATACGGTGAAGATCCCGACCGTCACTGAGGTTATTGCGAGAGCCGGCACGATCCACGGGACATTAGGCGACGAGCTCCAGCCGAACCAGAACAGCCCGATGGGCAGAAAGAGTGACTCGACACAAGCTGAGTAAAGTCGGCCTTCAGGCGTGGCCATCCGCCGGGGCATGAATGTTCTGAATATCGGGTCCTGAAGGATTGTGATTGCCGCCCCTGCGATTGACCCGACAATGACTGCGGTGTAGATTCCGCCGACCTGGCTGCTGGTAAAGCCGTAGACGGAACGAAACACCAGACCGATGCTGTTAAACTGCAAGTATAGAATCGCCCAAGCAAATGAAACCCATGCGGAAAACCAGAAAACGACAGATTCAGTAAAGAGGAGTTTGAGGGGGAAGGAGAAGCTCCGCCACAGGATGCGCATGTCAAGCTCGGGGCCCTCGAAGTGGGCGCGAAATTGAACGCGGACAAGTTGTGACTGGCCCTCGGCCAGCAGCAGCTCAGTGTCTTGTCGCAGTTCGTCATTGTTTCCAATCAGTGGAGAAACTCGCTGCAGGTCAACACTCTCGAAATGCTTGTTGAGGGCGCCACACTTTTGTGCAAGTACAACATTGCTCCGCGTCTCGGCGAAGAAGAAGAAGATGGCCAATGTCGTGGAACCGACAGTAATCATTTGCAGGTAGAAGATCCATCTCCATTGAAGGTGATCGACAATGATGCCGCTGATCATGGGGCCTAATCCGGTCCCGATCATGATGGTGAGCGAGTAGAGGGCCATGGGCGTGTTGCGCTTCTCCTTGTGGAACACATCGCCGACGACGCCCCCGGTCAGCGTCGCAAAGACGGACGCTCCGTTCCCCGTGATCAGACGAGAGACCAACATACCAGGGAACGACTGTGTCACGGCACAACCCAGGGTTCCCAAGAAGAAGACGGCCCCGGAGCCGACAAAGACCCAATAGCGACCGTAGATTTCGCTGATCAACGCGAGGATCATGGGCGCGAATCCGAACCCCAAGACGAAGAGTGTGATGCCGAGGTTGAACTCCGTGTTGGAAAGGGACCATTTCTCGGTCAACGGAGCTGCGGCCATGGCGTAGGCACCGGCAGAGTAGGCGGCTAGGGTCGAGGCGAAGAAGGTTCCGGAGAGGACCGTGATTTTCTTCCGCAGGGACCAGGTAAATGGTGATTCGTATCTAGCATCGAGTGATGTGGGGTATCCTTCTTCGAGAAGACCCTGAATGCCGTGGGATCGCAAGCATTCTGCCATGAGGAATGCCGGATTCAAGGCATCGATATTTAGATGAATATCAACTATATCGGGTGTGACTGTAGTTGACTCCCCAACCGCCGTTGGGGACATTTTCTCCTGGACATCGTCGACGTTGGCAACCTCGGCTAGGTTTGACCGTTCGATATCAGAGTCCCCGGCTGAGCTGCCTTTCAGAGGCGTAGGGACTTGGCCCATGGTCGAGTTTGGTCGCATCCTAGGCCATCGGCGTGGCCAGCTGTGATACCACGGGGCAAGTGAAAGGCGACGCCCTCGAAAGGCATTTCACGCGTCGATGCAACGACTAGGTGTATCCATTGAATAGTGAATAGTGAATCCACCCTTGTCCTTTGACTCAAACAATTGCCAAGGAGTTCGGTCGCGGAGACTTCTCCGCATCCCACCTTGTATATGCGTAGTCTGGGGGCGAGCCTCCGAAGATCGGAGGACCCTAGTCGATCCACTGCATCATTGTTTACATCCGGTCAACCGGCTCTACACCTCCTCGTCGTGGTTGTATGATGGTATAGTACCGAAGCATTTGCAGTTTTGCAAAATTTGCATCTTGACTGATGAGTAAAAGAAACGTTTCTTTCGACGCCACGGTCAGTTGTATTAGTCGTAAAAACCACATCCACAACGTCATCAGATACGGGCAAATAACATGATGTACTGCACGATCTCGCGACCTGCAGCCCACAGGAGACATGAGAGGAGAGTCTACTGTGGGAGACTCCCAAGAAAAGAAAGCATTCTCTGCATGATCCTCGTTGATCCACTGATGAAGGACCCCCCCATAGTCGCGTGGCATTTCATCCGGATGAGACCTCCGAAGGATCGGAGGCTGAAGGCGTGAGCGGCACGGTCCGCTGTCACGGCACTGGGTCTTGCTTTATCAACCTAAATGAAGTGTGTCCTGGTCCGATGGCACTAAACAGGGGGAAGATGCAGCACTTTATCCAGAAGACTGGAATTAAGAGGGGTAATCGGGGGAGATGCAGGTTGTCCGCGGGGAGAGATACCGCAGAGCGAATGCATCAGCTTCCTCGAGCTATCCGGACGCCTGCCCGGAATGAACGATAATGCGGGGCATCACGGCATCTTATCTCTGCCCTTGCTCTCTCATTTGGAGAAAGTCTCGGGATAAGATAGGGAAGAATAATATGCCAGCCTGTGACGTCCAGTCTAGACTCGCATTGAAACACTTTGCTTGCTATCTTACAGACTTAGACCTCTTCACATCCTTGGTCAAAGTCATACATTGATCTGGAGCCCATCGTAACGACTGGCAAACTCCATCTCCCGTCCACCACTATCTAAAGGTAAGGGGGGCGAGGTCACGTTTCCTCAGCGCTCAGGTTCACCATACCCAATGCTGACTAACCTGTTTGATGAGACACACGCTCAATGGCAAGGGTCTCAAAGCCTGGATCACGACTTATCATACCCTCCCGAGTTCTACACAACTGATGACTGAGTGCTCTTATACATGAAGACCATTTGAAATGGCTTTCTCAATCGCCAAATGATGCATAGGATCTAGATACGGATACAAAGGCTACCTTAACATCACGATCGAGGGGTCAACTTCCCGGCTCCTCATCTCCGCGTATGCAGCCCAATGGTTTATAAAAAGAAAAAAAAAGCGGTGTCTTACATTTTGCTAAAGAGGATGAGGAGATGCTAACCAAGACTTTGCCCGAAGCAAAGACCAAGCCGCTGCTTGAACGCCGTGAGCAAGCAAAAAGTTGACTCTCGGGTAAAGGCGCAAGAAAGTCTCATCGATCTCGCTTGGCCGCGGCTCATGGCGCCATCACGCGATGTTGGCTAGAATGGCTTTATTACGCCCAGCCCTCCCATGAGGAAGGAACCAAGACTTGGGGCCAATATGCTTACCCGTCTCGTCTCTTGCCCCGAAGGACAAGACACCTCTTGGAGGTCCTTTTGTCAGGCGAGGCTTCTCAGCTCAAGACCAGCAAGGTGCTGATTTGTCGATGGTCCCCCGTCACATCCAAGAAAACTCGGTCTTGTCATGAGTAGATGTTGTCGGGCGAGACTAAAGGGGCGTTGAACCCCTGAATGACATGAAAAACTTTGCGCGGGATGAGGATCGTACCCCCTTGCCTGCGATGCAGCCTGGAACTCGGTTATAACCGATGGAAAATAGTCCAAACCTTGCCATCGTTGCACCATCGGCACCAGATCCCACGTATTCCTGGGCTGCACCTGAAAGCGACGTGTGTGCTGACAGGTGGTTGAGAGTGTGATCGTGACAGTTTCTTACCCAGAAGCCAAAATATTCCATGGCCAGATTTCATGAGACCTCTGAGAGTATGTCGTGAGCATGTGGCTTTGTGGTGTTCCGTGTGTCCATCAGGGTAAAATGGACTCGAAACTCGATGGAGACTTTTGCTTCAGCAACACATGAATCACACAAAGTGTGCACCTGCACGGCAAGATGCACCTTGCGCGGACTTCACCTGTCAAGCTGTCAAGTGTTGCCAAGACCTTTAGATGTCTTGGACCTGGGCGGTTAGCCAGGCGGAATCTCGATGCGACTTCTCCAAGGGCGAGGGGCTCGCATTGCCCGGCCAGGTAAGACCAGCCATGAGGATACACGGCAACTGGGGCCGTCACCTGCTTCCCTTCCAGGATGCCAGGAGAATCCCGAGCTGGTGGTATTTGGCCGGAAGAAAGTGCGACAGTGACAGGCAAGTGAAGGTGCTTATGGTGAGCTTCATCCCTCAGACATGTGAGGATGCATTGATGATCAAGATCCAACAAGAACAACGTGATGTACAGCAGATACTGCTGGACACGCCTGACGGTCTCGCAAGATACACCGAAAGCTACATACTCAGACTCGAATGAATGAGAGAGAGTCACGGTGCTTCTTTGCTGTAAGGAAAATGCTGTCGATACATTTGACGAACTGGGATACCTCACCTTACCTTGCATGTGCTCTGTACGGTACGTAGTCTGTAAGGTACTCTGTAGAGGTTGCAGCACACCTCAGCAGGCTCAGCCAAGGCAAGGCGCCACGGGTTAAACTGGGCCCTGCCGCCAAAATTTTCCCACTTCGACATCTACACCTTGGATCGCGTCATCGGCCAAGTGGACCACAAACAGAAACTATGACACAGAACTTTTCCCGCCAGGCCACTGGGGCCGAACCCTTGTGCTATTCCCTTGACGGTTCGAGGGAAAAAGCCGGGGTTTTGGGGGGGCCATGTTGGGGGTTCTAGAGACTAGAGAGGGTCTCCAAGTCTCAAAGGCCGCGTCCAACAGCCCCAGATGCTCCTCGCATGTAAATCTCGCATGCGGATGGATACTCTCGGCGCACCATGGCCGATTAGCCTGAGCCTCCCTGAGACCTGGGCAACTTTTTGATGGATTTTCATTTTTTTTTTGGCTCGACAATTACAAGGGTTCCTAAGCGGCGCAACCTCACCTGTTCCCCCCCAAAGACGACGACGACGACCCGTCCCATCCCATCCTAAACCGATTCGACCCAGGCGAATATCTCGCCACATGGCGCCAATTCGGTGTAAATAAGACGTGATCACCTTGGCGGGGCCACGCTGCCAGTCTACGACAGACATAAAAGTCTTCTGGCGGCCTTCTAGTTTTTTTCTGCTTGCTCCTCGGATCGTCTCTCGTTCTCCAGTCTTCCGTCTCCATCTGGTGTTGTTTCTTCCTAGTCTTTGATCGTTTATACCCACGACGACAGGATTAGTTCACCACCATCGTGGTCAACATGTCCAAGCTCCTGAGCAAGTTTGGCGTCACGTCGGCTGCCTCTGCCGCCGACGATGACCACCACAAGCATGGCGATCTCCCAGCCGCAACGGCCTACGATGGCGAAGTTGGTAAGTCACGATCCCGTCATGGTTCAGCGCCCGGAGCATAGTCCGTGTGGTGCCGTGCCGTGCCACACGGCACAACGCCACACAACCAACCACTTACATGCTAATTACTGATGCCAGGCCGCATCGAGCACGCCCGCGAAAACAAGCGTAAAATCGGTGTCACCACCGCCATCTTCTTAATCGTCAACCGTGTTGTCGGCACCGGTATCTTTGCGACGCCCGGAACCATCCTTTCGCTCTCTGGTAGTGTCGGCCTTGCCCTCTTCATCTGGGTCGCCGGCATGATTATCGCTCTCGCTGGTACCGCCGTCTACCTCGAATGGGGAACCGCTATCCCCAAGAACGGAGGAGAGAAGAACTACCTGGAATACGTCTTCCGCAAGCCCAAGTTCCTCACCACGGGGCTCTACACCGGATACGTCATCCTCCTCGGCTGGGCCAGTGGTAACTCGGTCGTCTTTGGCGAGTACATCCTCCACGCCGCCGAGGTCGAGGTCGGCCGCTGGAACCAGCGCGGCATCGGTCTGGCCTGCATCACCACCGCCTTCTTGATCCACGGTCTGGCCCTCAACTGGGGCTTGCGCCTGCAGAACTTGCTTGGATCCATCAAGTTGATCATCATCGTCATCATCATCCTTTGCGGCTTCATCGCTCTCGGTGGCCACGTCAAGCTGCCTGAGGACCAAAAGCCCAAAAACTTCCAAAACGCCTTTGAGGGCACCACCGGTAGCCCCTACGGTGTTGTTACTGCTCTCTACAACGTCATCTGGAGTTACATTGGATACAGCAACGCCAACTACGCCCTCAGCGAGACCAAGAACCCCGTCCGTACCCTCAAGATCGCCGCCCCCGCCGCCATCATTACCATCTCCATCCTTTACATGCTGGTCAACGTTGCCTACTTCGCCGCTGTCCCCAGACAAGAGATCCTCGACGGTGGCCGCCTCGTCGCCGCCTCCCTTTTCCGCAATGTCATGGGTGGTACTGCCGAGCGTGCTCTTTCGGTCTTTGTCGCCCTGTCCGCCTTTGGCAACGTCCTCAGTGTCATCTTCTCGCAGGGCCGTCTCGTCCAGGAGCTTGGTCGCGAGGGTATTCTGCCTTTTTCGCGCTTCTTCGCTAGCAATAGACCCTTCAACGCCCCCTTGGCCGGTCTCTTTGAGCACTGGCTGATTTGCGCCATCACCATGCTTGCCCCCCCTCCTGGTAAGAGATACCAATCGATACTTTTGTTGAATATCCATTTCCCCATGAATACTAACTCATCTGCAGGCGATGCCTACAACTTCATCCTCAACCTCATCAGCTACCCCCTCGCCATCATCAACGTCTTCGTCGCCGGCGGTCTCGCCTACCTCTACCTCAACCGCAAGGAATGGAACTGGAACCCTCCCATCAGCGCCACCCTTCCCGTCACCATCTTCTTCATGCTCAGCAACGTCTACCTCGTCATTGCGCCCTTTGTGCCTCCCGAAGAGGGCCAGAACGTCTACGAGAGCCTTCCCTACTACCTCCACTGCGTCGTTGGTATCGCCATCATTGTCGCCGGTGGTCTCTACTGGGTTGTCTGGGCCAAGATCCTCCCCAAGATTGGCAGGTATGAGTTGTTGCGCGAGACGGTTGTCGATGAGATTGATGGCTGGGAGAGAAACGTGTTCTTCCGCAGACCCTACGGCGAGTCTGTTCCTTCGGAACGTCACGTTGGTTCTCCGGACCCGGAAGTTTCCAAATAAAAGTTATCTGCCATTTGATCCTATTGTGTGGCCTGCGCGTCGGTTTGATGAGGCGCCAGCGACACATCGCTCTTAATTATACCCTAAAAGCATAATATAACACTTTAATGTTCTGAAAGTACGGGCAATATGTGCAAATGGACTATATAAGACATGGCTCGTGCTTGAGTCAGGTTGCTCCATCTACTATAAATACCATTCGCTTGAGTCACGGCCAAGACATTGCATCAGCTGACAGCTTGCAAGTTGCAGGTATCGGGAGGGCGGGCATCCCGTCGCAACATGGTGCTGGCGGAGGACTGGACGTTAGATCCTAGAGGCTCTAGATTTCTCGACAAGCGAGTTCTCATGAAAAAGCTTAGATGAGATGAGAATGGAAAAAATGGGCTGTATTCTGTTTCTCGCCTACCCTGCCGCACCTCACACTCGCTTCTTCAAGGGCCAGGCAAATGCTCCCAAGGAAGAGCACAACATGAAAGAGCCCAGGAAGAGTATCAACGACTCGTAGCGACCCATCCCGTATCCTCCGCTCACCGGTTTGGTCAACAACCCAGCAGTAATCGGACCAGTAGCCAAATTTCCGATGCCTTTGCCAAACGCCATCATGCTGTATACAGGCTGCGGGTCGTCGGAGAGCATCGCCCCAAACTTTGGCCAGCTGATGAGGAAGCCGCCAGCAAACATGCCAAAGACCAATGCAAAGATGACCAGCAGCGGCAGAGAGTGGGCAAATCCCCAGAGTGTAAAGGCCGCGACCGCCGACGTGAAAGAGGAAAGAAAAATAAGCATAAAGACATTGTTCGTGTGATCGGAAAGCCACCCAAAACCAATCTGTCCAAAAACCGTTGCCAGGTTGTGCGCTGCGAGGAGCAACGCCCCCATGGTACCAGAGAGCCCCATGGCTGTGGCGTACGAAGGCAGATACAGAGATGGAATGTAGTACGCGAAACCCTGGAAAAGATTCGAAAGCGCAAAGCAGTAGAAAAGCGGCTGTCTCAGGAAGCTCACGTCCAACATCCGCATGGCACCGTGCGGCGATGGGGGCAGCCGCCCCTTGATCATGTGCAAGATGGGCGCCACGCCAACAAACTGGGCGACGGCGACGGCTCGGAGCGTGGTCTGGTAGCCGTACTCGGCCAGCAGCACCTGGAGCAGAAACGGCATCCCGACGCCGCTGAATCCACCGCCGGCATAGAGGACGCCGTACGCGAGGCCGCGCCGGGCGACGAACCACTCGTTCAACATGCGCAACACCGGGAAGTAGAGCATCAGGAATCCGAAACCGTATAGAACGCCCTGGGTAGCGATGAGCCCCGCGACAGAGGTGGCAAAGGACGCGCCGACGAGGGACGTGACGCACATGGCCCAGCCGGTGACGACCATGTGTTTCTGGTAGCGGTGGAATCGCTTGACCAACGGGGCGGCGAGGGGCGCACCGAGAAAGTAGATACTGGTGGATACAGTGCCTATGACGGCGATGTTGGAGTCGCCCTCAAATTGCGGTTGGGAGGAATAGTATTCCTGAAAGACTCCAAAGGTCAAGGGGAACCCTGTCAAAATAAGTGACGTTGCCTTAAAAGTAAGAACCGCTGGAAGATTAAGTACCCCAGAGAAGAGCTTCGATGACGAAGCTGGACAGCAGAAACTTCCATGCCGCGGCGCCCCTGTCGGTGGGCGGCATAGTGTGGATCACGGTGTTGCCGTCCTCCTCATGACTCTGCGGCGTAGCGGCGACGGCGCCGGGGTTCGGCATCGGACGTAGCTCGACTGACATCTTGACGCAAGGACCTAATCATGTATGGTCCGTCTTTTCAAAAACAAGATGCTATTCAGATGAGTAACTACAGGTCCCCAGAGTCACTTTCTTTCTCAAGGGGAGATCTAGGCTTTTAATGACAAACAAAGTCTTGAAAAGCCGAGACCGGTGCCGGACCGGGACGGCTTCCGGCTGTGGGGGAGTGACGCTAGGCCAAAAGTCATTTTCACATGAAGGGCGCACGCCTTGCCTAGTTGGTGAGATACTTTGGGTCGCTTCGACTTATATGGTCTACTTGAGTTCATGTTTTGTTAAAAAAAAAAAAAAAAAAAAAACACGGTAGGGCAACTGGCTCATCATGGGCAGGGCTTGTTGTCAACATTTCTTTTCCTCTCTTCGTGTTGTGTCTTGAGAGATATAGTCTTCAATCTACTCTTCTCTTCCTCTTCGTTGACGAACTGACCTCCGCGGTGGTCCTCTAGAATCCTTTCATCGAAGTCTATTTGGTTTGCACTGAAGCTTCTCACCAAAGTGGTCCGTTTACCAGACCAATTAACGCTTTGACTAATGGAATGACTGACAGTCCTTGGCGTGTTCATACATGTAGGCGCAGTGTCTGCTCAGAAAGCGTGACGAACATCAAAAACCGCGTATAGGATGGATGCTCTACCCAACGTCAGAATCATCCGATCAATACCTCACCTTTATCTAAGCAGCAACTTTTGGAGCGTTCCAGCTGCCAGCCTACAATTGGGTAAAACGCCACTTCCTCAATGTAAGCTCGCCGCGTAAGGTAGCATGACGCACTGGACCCTGATTTTACGGGTACATTGGCTTCCTACGCTATCGATTGTCAAACGGCGCCTTTCGGGGAATTTTCCCCAACAAATTGGTACCAGGGCTGCACCTTCTAGTATTTGACTCACTTTCCCCAACTCGGACCGTGCATTGTGATATTGCTCTGAAGTAGGGTCAATAGACTATTAATTAGAGAAAGGCTGCCGCTTCCTTCCGCCGCTCAAATATACAAATAGTACGGAGACAGATTCAGAGAATACTTGCTGCAGTCGAGTCATTTGCAAGTTTTACCAAAAGTCACCTTTCAGAGCTCTTTCGCAGCACCAGTGATCCATCAAGTCTTCCGCCGGAACCCTCGACAATGACGAAAACCATCTTTTTCGAAGACTTTGTGGTCACAGATCGAGGCGGAATCATCGAGAACAGACACGCAGTCCACGCTGCAGTCGTCGACGCTAGCGGCAAAGTACTCTATGCTGTCGGCAACCCTTCGCGAATGACGCTCGCTCGCTCCGCGGCCAAGCCCGCCCAAGCTCTCGCCGTGCTCGAAACACCAGGTTTTGCGAGGTACGGCTTCGACGGAGCGGATATAGCTCTCACGTGCGCATCACACAACAGCGAAGAGCGCCACGTCGCGAGAGCAAAGTCCATGTTGGCCAAAGTCGGTGCGGAAGAATCGGACCTGCGCTGCGGCGGCGACCATTCGATCTGTCCGGTGGTTAATCGATCATGGATCAGGGCAGATTTCACGCCGACTGGGATCAACAATAACTGCTCTGGTAAACATGCGGGCATGCTCGGCGGCGCAAAGGCACTAGGTGCGGGCTTCGCGGACTATCACCTCCCTCACCACCCGATCCAGGCCAAAGTCAAGCAAGTCGTGCAAGACTTGAGCGGGCTCAGTGGAGACAGTCTCAAGTGGGCGATTGACGGCTGCAACCTCCCTGCGCCTGGACAACCTCTCCACTCCATGGGTCGCCTGTATGCCAAGTTTGCAGCGGCTGCCGATACTATCGGGAAGGGAGATGATACTGCTCAGCCCCCAAGAACGAAATACATGTCCGACATTTACAACGCCATGGCAACGTACCCCGAAATGGTCGGCGGCAACGGGCGTTTCTGCACGGCACTCATGGAGGCTTTCGACGGCGCCCTCATTGGCAAAGTCGGCGCAGATGGGTGCTACGCAATCGGCATTCGGGGATCAGGGTCCACGAAGAAGCTTGGTGCCGAGGGAGCCGTAGGCATAGCCGTCAAAATCGAAGACGGTAGTCTCGAGATCCTCTACGCCGCGGTCGCTGAGATCCTTGAACAGCTGCAAATCGGGACGGTAGAGATGCGGAAGCAGTTGGCGAGCTTCCAGCATTTAAAGCGTGTCAACACAATGGGCGTCGAGACAGGCCAGGCCTTACACGCCTTCACGATTCGCCGCATGGATTGAGTGGATATACTGTCAATGTTTCGGGTAGATTGCTAAGAGTCGTAGATGGTTGCGTTTCTCTCAATCCACAGAATAGAAGAGACTGATGAGTTTACCAAGCAATCGCCGGGTGACTCATGGTCAGTAATTGTCACTCAACCAATGGAGTGAGGTATTATCCCGACATCCTATCTCGATTGCAAAGACCAATGAATGAATCAATTGAGGGGCCCGGGCTTTGAACCAGGATGCAGAATTTGGATGGGACAGTAGTTGCGCCGACTGAAGTAAGCAAGCTTAGCAATCATTCGCCCAAGACATTTGCCCTCACTGGCGTTGAACCGGCCATGCCTTCCCCTCATCCCCGTTTGCTGCGTACACTGGCTGCTCGATTATCTCACTCATCGCCGCGCATCATGCTACCTATTGCAGAGCTAGTGAAAGCCGAATTAGTGACGTAGCATATGCATGAAGACATGTGTGAGTTGACTGCCACAATTATGCATTGCGGGCGGTTCCCCTCCGCAAAGTCCATAGGTCCATTGTAATCCGGGAACTCGAGTTGGCGCAGAATCAGATGTTCATCGCCGACTGACGAAACAGCGTCGACATTGTTGCCAAGCCCCAATGGCTGGCCTAGGTGGTGATGTTGTACGGAACTCGCAGATGATGTATAAGTTCAACACGTTTCCCCTCTCATCACCACATTTTACTTCTAATTCTCTTCATTACATTATCTCCCAAACATCTACAAAACACAGCAGTCCATCATAACCGTTTCTTCAAAATCAAACACCATGTCTTCCATCGCCAGAGACGACAAGACCTCGCCGTCCTTTTTTCCCCTCGCCAGCGTAGCCCAGGACGGCTGGTCTACAGAAAATGAAGCAACAGCAACATGCTTCTGCGGCGCTGTTCAACTCTCATTCGTAAGTGTTCCATGTCCATCTTTTTCATGATACACACACTTCACCATCAAGAAGCATCACATTAACAACCCCAATCAGCCAACCCAAGGCCCCGGTCTCGTCGACCGCTTCCTCTGCCACTGCGCCGACTGCCGCAAAATCTCCTCATCCATGTTCTGCTCCAACTTCTCCGTCGCCGACAGCCACCTCCGCCACATCCGCGGCAAAGAGACACTGAAAATCTTTAGCCAGTCCCGCACGATTGCGACGGGCAACGACATGGCCAACCACTTTTGCGGGACCTGCGGCACCCTCATGTACCGCGTCAGCTCCGGCCTGCCGGGGATGAGCATTCTGCGGCTCGGCACCGTGGACGATTTCCGCCTCGTGGAGACCAAGCTGAAGCCGCAGGTCGAGCAGTTTATCGATACGCGCGCGTCTTGGGTCAAGCCGATTGAGGGAGTCTTGCAGCTGGACCGGATGCATACTGACGAGGACATTGAGAGTCTCTTGTAGATACATATAGTGAAAAGAATGGGCATTGTCCAGTGGTTTTCCAAGTTCAACGTCCACATGTACGGAACGGAATAAGACGCCGGTCTCCGTGACCAGCGGCACTGGATGATGCTGGGGTTCGGCGGACATTATACCTGTACTAGATTCTCCCTGTCTCGATTATTTGATTAAGATTTGAGGCGGAAGAGGCTCCGGGGCACAATGACAAGCGAATTCCACTAGCGATCTGCGTTGCGTCCTCTAAAGTGAGTGATTTTTGATGCCAGTCCCACATCTGGGATCTCGAAAGCGTAGAGTGTATTGAGAAAAGCTCAGCGAAACACAATATGGCCCGTTACCTAGGCGGACTTTCTTGCTAGCGGCCGCGGTAACTAGCAGACTCGGGATCCGTGTCTCATCCGAACTTTTGTCTAGGCGTCATTTACGGTGACCCTGCTGCAAAAATGACATTCTGTTACGCCAGCTAGAACCTCGAGCTGTGGTCCCTTCCAATTATTCATTAACATCCCACACACTGCGATAATGAGTGACAACTACCCATCAGTCTTGCGAGGTATTTTCCTAGGCAAGAAGATAATACGAACTCCTCGAGGCCTTGCTAATGCGCAATCCGAGAAACAAGGATGCGTTTCCACACCCATGACCATGTTAACCCACATTCTCCGATTCGGACTGCTCAGCCATCAGCTTCCGAAGCTCTTCGACCAGATTCCGGGCTCGAGCCCTTTCGAAATCGGTCGTCGCCAAGTCTAAATCGATAATCCACTGAGCCTCCGTCTTGTCAGTCATGCCTTTGATAGCCGCGTGCCGCCTATCAATCTCATCCAGCTGCGCCAGGACGCGCGCCGCCTTCTCCGTCGGTATCGCCGAGTGTCGCAGTGCCATTCCGACCATACCCTGGGCGACTGATCCAAAGACTGGAAACGACGCGTAAAGGTCCTCCAAACCCGCGAGACAAAGGTCCAAGTAGAATCGCCATTCGTTGCTAGTTTGGCCATCTGCTCGGGGCAAAGATACTCCTCCCTCCTGGATCATGGCGTTGGCGACGTACACGACCGCAGTCTGCCAGAGGACCGAGTAATTCGCGTTTTTGTAACGGAGGCGGTATAATAGAAGAAGTCGCTTGAGCTGCGTTACGGATGACGCATAGACCGCTTCGGGAGTGGCGTGCTTTGTACTAAAGGAGTAGAGGCGCTGCGATTTGAAATCAGCCGCGAGACATGGCCGGAAAAGATCGGTCACCACGGCGTGGAAGTAGACGCTGGTCAAATATGTCAGTTTCAAAAGGGTCGTGGCTTTGGAGTTGAGCAGATCAGGACTTGATGGGTTACGTACTGCAAGAGCATCACACTATGATCGCTTGCCTCGCCTCTCGCCATTTCCAGTGAGAGTCCGCTAGCCCAGCTCAGTAGACGATGGTACGTCCCTTCTGCAAATCTCAAAGACTCTAGCTGAACGCCTCGGTATTGAGGATCGTGTAATCTTTCTAGGATGTCTTTGAAGATGATCCACAGATCACTGGCGGCACTGAGTGATTGAGCATGAAAAGCCGTCTTGGCTGACCACGCATCGTCGCTCGGCAGTAAGACAATCAAGTCTCTGGGCATTGGGAGTAAGGGCGGCGTATGAATTTCCTGGACGCGATAATGGAGGGAATACACCCTGAGGGAATTAACAATTGTTTCACAGCGCGCCCTCGATCATGCTAGGTTACTCACGACACCCAGTTATAAACACCCCACGCAGTGTAAGAAGCAGCCCTCGTCCACTCGGCATGACCGCCCAGCCAGACGGTGGCTGACTCGGCTTCGGATTGAACATTGAAAAGGCCCATCGCCTTACCTAGCCTAACGCTCTCTTGCAAAAACCGGAGGCTCATGTCGTCTTTGCCGTATGTCACGGCGCACATGCTGAGAATTTGCAGCGCAGCAATGCTCGTGACACTATTCGGCTGCTGTTGATCGGAGAAATACTGCTGGGATTCCGCGAAAAGAGCTACACTAAAAGCGGCGGCATCGGGATGGAGAGTCGTGAACGCTTGCTGCTGATGTTAGCCCGGACCGTTTGCAAGGGAGAGCAGAGACAGGAGACATACACACGCCCAACTCAAGACGGCAGTGACAAGAAATGGGGAGCAAAAGAAATGTTGTAGATTGATCAGGTCTCGGACAAACAGGTCGGCGTTGAACAAGGGTATAGCTGCGTAGTCAATTTCAAGGTAGTGTGATATAATACTGATCGCGAGGTCGTTCGGTATGGGGATGCTTGTCCATTTGGTGATGTCAAGGAGACGGAGACGTTCGTCGAATAGTGGACTGCGCACGGCAACCCCCGTAGAATCGGGTGAACCACTCTTGGGCACCACATTCTCTTCCGCATCTCGCTCTGGAGTCAGGTACGGACCAGAGAAAGGAGAGACTTCTCTGGAAAGCCTGCGGCTTATTAGTGTATGGCGGCATTCGGCCAAGCCCAGTATACCGTCTTGTCATGAGTGTGTCATGCCGCGACAATACAGATCTAGCCAGGGCCGTGCGTAAGGAATGGCATACGTAGCTTGTCGCCCTTCCAGCCAAGGCTTCGTCGTAGGTTTGAGTAGGGCTCCGAGAGTCAAGTCCGTATACGGCACTGGGAACAGGGCGGGATATGCGACGGGGTGTCGAATGGTGAGTTCGAAATTGATGCTGTTCTGGGTCGGTGGGAGGAGGCCTCTGAGGTGTTGCTGATCGGATGGCCGTGACAGACCCAAGCCACGGCTGGGCAACTCGTTGCGCAGTTTGTGAAACAACTCGAGGGCTTGTTTGGGCGGAAGCGTTCGCAAGGATTCGAGCATCTCGGCAGGGCCACCTCGTTCTGAATGCTCCACCTCGGCGAGGGTGACGCGATGTCGGACAGTGTAGGTATACTCGCATGTCTCTGGACGCTGATCGCACATGACGCATCGCGGGAGTCGTCCATCGCACTATCAAGACGACAGACAAATCAGCATGCGACAGATTTCAAAGCATGTACGCACAGATATGTGGGCGGATCAAGGAGTAGGTAGGGGCAGTGCAAGGGACAAAAGCAAGGCATGGGAAGCCAAGGCCCACCTTTGTCTTCCGTCTGCGACACGGGTCGCAGGCGCTATTGGCCTTCCGCTGCCGCGCAGGACGGCGGAGGTTGATGCTGGGTCGACCGGGACCAAGACCGGCGCCGGTGCCGGATTCGGCAGTGCGATTGGCACTGGAGTCGGGGTGCTGTCGGACGTTAATTGATGGCCCTTCGGCTAGTGGCCGCGGCCGCAGCGGACGAAGCGGCGTCATGTTGGATGGGGTAGGTTGGGTGGCATTTCGACGGCATGGGCCACGTGAACCAGGCCATTTGCGAACTTGTACGAGTGGAGGGTGGATGGTGGATGGGTGCAATCGCAAGAGCAGTTGCGGGGTGTCGTGGAAGAAATGCGGTGACAAGGCGGGGGATCCGCAAATGAGCAAAGCTTACCAAAGATGGCCTAGGCTCAATTGCATCCCTTTTGGCGCCGATCCCCGTTGGCTCGCTTGGCATTCGCGCTAGTCCATATCCAGTGCCCTGTGGTTCATGATGGTCTAGACAGTCGATCTGATGGTGTGCTCGGGCATCTCGGTGAGATGGTGAGTCGGTGAGTCGACGCCTCTGTCGGTGACTGGTGACCGGTGAACACTTTCGCCAGAGTGTAAGTGTATAACTGGCTCAATCCGCAATGCTCAGTGCTGGCTCCAACGTCCACCATGACACTACTAGCTTTAATTTTTTCAATTCAAAATGGTCTCACACATTCAATTGGCTCTGTGGATATCTGTTCCTAGACAATCTCTTGCGACCAAAGATATTTTGGCTCACATTGCTGAAGAGAAATCTCGAAATAAACCACTGGCTCCCCATTATTATTTTCTGAAATGTTAACTATCAATTACGGTTCCGCTTACCTTAGTAACCGTCAAGGCTCAAGCGATTGACAGCGCATCCGCCGATAAGCGAATGGGTTTCATCCCAAAAACCCAGCCTGGCACGGGCAAGAAGGTTTCCAATGTTTGCGATCTATTGGTGTGTTCGTTAAGTGCCCCACGACAATCCGAACTTGTGCAAGAACACTGATTTCCCCACGTAGACCAACTCGAAACGAAGACACCCCGATACTTGCCGCCAATGCTTCGCGATCACGGACGTTCATCCGAGCGGCCGGGTCAGGCGGCTGTCCAAATAGCCAAGAACTGAGGGCTTGTGAACTTTGACACTTCAAGGTATTGAGCACAGGATATGTATTGCCACCAGCTCCCTACGCCATTGGGTTTACATCGAACATAGAACGAATACGTTATCCTCGCAACATCACACCCCTTGACTGAACCGTAGAGTCGCATCGCCCGTTAGACCTACCTCGAACCAGTCGAAACGGACTGTTGTGATGGAATCGCTCCATGCCAAACCCCTCGTCGCCGTCTAGTCAGCTCGCGAGCTCAACATATACACCGCCATGGCCAAGATCGGCACGCAAAGAGTAAAGACTGGCTGCACAACCTGCAAGATCCGCCGGATCAAATGCGACGAGGCGCGCCCATCCTGCGCGCGATGCATCTCCACCGGCCGCAAGTGCGACGGCTACGTCCTCCCACCAACAACAACATACTCCTGGGCGCAGCTCCTGCGGTCATGCCCCTTGCAGAACACATCCTCGATCCGGGCCGCGCAGCCGAGCAAAGCGAGCAGAGTTCACGCCGAGCGAGCAATGGACTATTACCGCAAAGTCACCGCGCCGCAGTTTTCCGGCTCTCTCAACTCGTACTTCTGGTCCAACGTCGTGGTCCAAATGTCGGACCAGGAGCCCGTTGCCAGCCACGCTGTGCTGGCCCTCAGCTCCATCTACGAGACGTTCCGCCAGGGATCCCACGAGGCGAGTTCCTTTGCCGTGTGGCATTACAACGAGGCGATCAAGCTCCTGCGCACGACGACGGACCGCGCCCTAATTCTCTTTGTCTGCATTCTCTTCATCTGCATAGAGCTGCTCCGCCGGAACCCAAAGGACGCCATCGCCCACTGCCGGCACGGAATCAATATTCTAAACGAGATTCACAACGAGTCCGACTTTTTGCGAAACCACATCACGCCCGTCATACGTCAGCTGAGCGTTGCGCCCTATCACTATGGGGTTAACCCCGCGACGTTCCCGACGGTGCGCAAGCCTTTGCCGACAGCAACCCAACGGCTGCAGAATGTGGCGGAGGCTCACGCTCGGCTTTTGACGATACACGTCCGCCTAGCTCGATATGTAGAATCCGTCAACGAACGACGTCTCGAGACGGGGCAGGAGGGGCCGGAGCCTGGCGCGAGGTGGACTGGCCAGTTCATACAGGTTGACCTGGATGCGTGGTATAAGGCGTATAGGGAACTGAAAAAGGAGGAGAGGTATACTAGTAGAGAGGAGGAGATGATGCGACTGCTTGACATCCGGTACCTCGTGACGAAGATTACGCTTTTGACGTCGTACAATTCAGGCCAGGGGGAGTGCGCAAATGACGAACACATTGACAAATTCCGCGCAATCGTCGTCCTCGCTTCACAAGCGGAAGACTCGTCAGAATCGTCGCCCAAATCCACCTCGTCGTCCACCTCCTCGTCAAAATCCTCAGCGGGCTGGGCCACTGACAGCGCTCTCGAGCTGGGATATAGCTCGCTCCTATTCGTGGTCGCCGCAAAGTGCCGTCGTCTGAAGCTGCGGCTTGAGGCGCTGAGGCTGATGAAGAAGCTTATGGTGCCGTCGAGGAATATCTGGGAGAAGGCGCTGACGTGGAGGATAGCGCAGCGGGTGATTGAACTTGAGCATGAAATCACCCTCGACGACGAGACTGACTTGGACGCCTTAGTCAGTGCCGATGAAGGCGAGTTCGTCCCGGAGGAGAGACGCGTAATCAATATTGAGTTCCGATGGCCTCCAGACACTACGATCCCCCCGCGGAGAAGTGTGATGTTTTTTACGAGAGATGGGGTCACTGGTGAAACTAAGGCAAGGGAAGAATTTCTGATAGCACAATAATACTTGGCAGAGTCGTTGGCTGCTTCCAAATAATCAAACGAACTTGTATCCGACTTATTGCTACGGGCTGCCGCCACATGACAGATTCCTGGAATGGTTCTATGCTTACATCGCGATTGTCACTCAGCCAACCCCAGCTATAACAACGGAATCATTAATGTCAACATTGCTTTATACTCGTGCTGCTTTTCCGGTGCCAACGATATACATGTGCTGCCTCAGTAATGCATGTGGTGGCTAAAAGAGAACACAAGACACTTCATCTCACAACCAAAAACGTTGGTTGAGAATCCTCCCTTGTTGTCCATTACGCCGACCTCAATAAGCCTCAAACTGATTAGCGCTGAATTAGACCAGAAGAAGGTAAAACTCATACCAGCACGACCACGTCAGAACAGGAGTATTTACAATAACCGAGCTGTCACACCAATATTACCTCATTCATCGACATGAACCTCACCCGTGTAAGGCTCTCCAAAAAGCTTGATCCATGACTCCTTGCTCTCTTCGTCCAGGGACTTTCCATTAATGTGTTGCGCCAAAAGCATCAACTTGTACCAGTACTCGAAGCAGGGCGAATGGGACACCAGCTTCATTGTCAAATCGAACACCGACTTGGCGCCATCCTCCCCAAGTTGAGGGACGAGGAAGTTGAACGTCGTGAGGGCGTTGGCGAGGTCTCTATCGACAGCTCTAATCGCGGCAATGGCGGTGTCATTGTTCTTATTGTTTTTTTCGTCGCCGCCGCCGTCGCCGTCTGTCGCCACGTTCAGTCCCAAAAGCATGGTGCAAGACTGGACAAGAAGATCGGCGTAGAGATCGTGCGCCTCCTAGGCGATTGTCTCCTTTGGCCAGATCTTGTCGATTTGTATTTTCATCGGAGCAATGTAAGTTTTGAGAGCCTCTCTCACCTGGGTGACACCCAGGTTGATGTCCTCGATATTGATGCAACTCTTGAAATCTCGAGCACACTGAGCCACGTGCTTGTCTTCAGCCAGATCCTCCAGGAAAAGTCTCCGGAGAATACAGCGGTCAGTCTCAGAGATGCGATCAGGGCCGGCATTGTCGTACTCTGCAATGATATCCTGCATGTTGATCTCATCAGGTAACTTTCGAGACGTGCCGGGCTGCTCATCCAAGCCTGGCCAAGTGAGATGTCCGTCCGATCCAATCGTTACCGACTTGTCGATGAGATTGGCATCCTGTCCCTTTCGAATCTTCGCAATAAATGCCTTGTAATACGCCGTGGTATCTTGGATCATCTTGTGGTGAGATATGGGGGGCACGATAGCGGCGCTCTCGCCAGTCCCGGGCTCGACCCCAGGCTCCGGCGACGTCTGCGTGGCCCAGGACCGCATCATCGCACCACGAAGACCGGCATCGACAGTGGGGACCTCGGGCCAGGGAAGTCGAACCGCCATCTTGGGCGCCGTCCAGACCTGGTGATCGAGCTGATCCTGGTAGGGTTCCAAGGCCTCGGGCCCGATGTCCCCATCGGTCACAAGTCGCCAGAGGTCGGGGTTGGACCGAATGTGCTCGGGAACGAAAAAGCCATGCATCAACGTCTCTCTTGTCGTGGTGCTATATTTGGCCCGGCAGTAGTTGGTATACCCCGCAAACCCCAAGGTGTAGATATCCGGCATCATCAGCATGGCGGTGAGCTCTGCGGAAGCGGGTGCGCGAGATCCGTGGTTCAGGGGCATAGTGAGCTTCGATCCTTCCCACGACGGCGGTACAATCTCCTGCCAATCCTTCTCGGTGAGTGCCATCTCATCAATGTACTCGGAGACCAGAGTTTCGTCAATGTCTTTCTCGTTGATTGCGAACGCGTTGATCTTCTTGTCCTTGCCGTACAAATGGTCAACGGCGCGGAAGATGTGAACGTAGGCCGAGAGCTTGAGGTCTTCGTGAAGCCGAAAGTAATGTGGCCCATACAATATCAGTTGGGCTAGCGAAACCTCAGGTACAGGCTTCACTGGCTGCTTGCCGCCCTTTTCCGCTCCCAGATCTGCCGCCTGATAGTAATGATGGTAAATGATTGCTAGCGTCAACGCGAAGTTAGCAGACACGATATCGCGGTTGTGCTTGGCAAGGAATGCCTTGATCTCGTCAACAAGACCCTTCGGCACCTTCCTCCCTGCTATCTTTGGCATCATCATACGGAAGTGTTTCCAAGTTCCCTCCTTTGTATCCTGTAAGGTCGCGTAATCTGGCCTAGCCACCTCATCATTCACGAGCACAGGACATGGGTGGCCCTTGCTGAAGGCATCCTGCTGCCGCTTTTGGTACTCGGATCTATCGCTGTCTGAAACATTTCGATATTTATCCGCGTCATTGTACCTGATTGACAGGTGCTTCACAAAGAGTAGCTGATTCGGTCGAAGCATATCGATAGGCGGGACTATGAGGCCTCCAGATTTTGACCCCCAGCCGAGATGAGCGGCATTCTCGTACGTATTCGCCTTCAGCGACGTCTTGGTAACACTGCGAGTGAAAGCGGGCGTGAACTCGTTTGTGTCGATGCCGACGTAGTATGAGTCGTCGGGGAGGGACTTGTCGGTGGTGTACCGTCGATGGCCTCGTTTGTGCAGGTTGACGATGATGAAGTTGCCGGGATCATTCAGGACGACCACCTTTCTCAGGTCCTCTTCGCTAAAGATGTGGCCGTCGGGCAAGTCGACTGATGAGAATTGAGGGCGTTGTAATTTGAACCGAGTGCCGGTGAGCTGAATGGGTGCTGGCAGCTTGCCATCTCGTTCTTTCTTCACGGCGGCTACCTCAGTGCCGTCTTCGGCGTCGCCGCCTGCCGCCGTTCTCAATCGATGACGCGTGGAGGGACCCTCCATGGAGATGGTTTACTTTACGATTATCTCGGTCGACAAAGGGCTAAGGACGACTGGTAGAGAGCAAGGGTAATTGAGGTAAAAAGGTCGACGTGGTGAGGGGAGAGCGGAATTTCTTGGGTTTGCTGCAATGTGTATTTGTGATAGTACGCAATGCGACAAGGATCCCGGGGCCACGAGAACAAACAAGAGCTGCCTAAGCAAGGTAGGTAGGGAAGGAGGAGAATATTCCACAGACACAAAGAAGAGACGTGTGGTGTTTGAGGGAATACGCGACCTAAGTAGACCATGTTCAGGAACAAATAAGCTTGAGAATCGAGAAATGTAAAAGTAGTAATCTACTACCCTTAGTCTCGGTAGGAGGATACCAAGTTCTGAGAGCAAGGAAATAGGCTACCTACTTACTTTAAATACTTCAGTTGATAAATTTCTATAATTTCAATGCGACTGAACTTGCTCACCTTGTCTACAGAGGATCATCCTCAGCATCATCAATGACAAGCTCCTCCTCCTCCTCCTTCTTCTTTTCCACCTTCACCTTTCTTCTCCCAACAACATCACCCTCTTCATCTTCGGGCCCCTCGCCCTCCGCCCAAGCCTCAGGCCCAACATACCTCCTCGGCCAAATATTCATTGCAGTCTTGCGCCCGTCACCTACAGGCAACCCAGCATGAACAACCCTCCGATCCCCAGTCCCATTCGCATGCAAATTTACCCAAAACACCGCATTCCCCCTCACCGGCCTAAACGCAACCCCCCCATCATCATGCCTCCTCCACACACTGCTACCGTCTCCGTCCCGCCGCCGATGCTGCGGCGTAACCGCCTCAATCTCGGGAAACCACGTCTCCCCACCGCTACACCCGTCCTCCAGAATCGCAAAAAAGCTCGCCACCCGATTCCACCGCCGTCTCCGTCCCGTCATCCCATCAGGCTGGAAGTCGTCGTACCAATCACGGTGCACATTGAACCTCTGGCCCTCGGTATACCGAACCAACTGAGGCGGCCCAATCTCATCCCGCCCGGACGCCATCACCGTCCCCAAGAACGCCTCCGCGCGCGCCAACACGCACTGCACGGCGTCGTCGTCGGCCGGTAGGCCCGCCGACCACGACGTCCGGTCTGGCGTCCCCTGCGTCCTGCCGTCTTTGACGACATAGGAGGGTTTGAAGGCGGGTTCGCCTGCTTCCAGGAGGCTTGCTATGTCGGCTTCGTGGAGAAAGTTGTGGATGTAGATTACCAAGGGATCAAGGGAGATGATTTGCGTGGTGTAGTTTTGGGCCTGGCAGATGTAGGGCTCGGTTATCGTGCCATCTTGCTGGGCGGGCGCATCGTCTGCCGGCGGGGAGAGGATCGCATTGAGGGAAGTTTGCAGACGGGAAGGGATGTTGTGTTGTTGGAAGTAGGGAAGGGAGATGGCTACGAGGGCTGTGTAGGCCGACAGGCCGAGGAGTTTGGTGATTGCGCTCGCCATCATGAGTTACTCGTTTGAAGCGCCCTTATACGATCAACAAGAACGACAAAGGAGAGACGTCATGATAGCTGTGGACGAGAAAGTCTGGAGGCGGCATCTTCATTTAAGAGCGCCCCTCAGACCAGGGGCCTCTCCAAGCAAAGAAAGTCCCTGGTGGGACTGTCCCTTGTTGCCGATCCAACTCGTTTACTTCAATTTGTTCCAGTCCGAAGTTCCGAATGCGCCTCAGATAGATCAAATGGAGCGTCGTCCTCCGACTGGGCGGAGAAACTCTTGCGCATGGCACCTTGGCTGATTGGGTGGTCACGGTGGTGTATGAACGCCTCCCGAAGGCGGACCAGGGTCCGACCCGGACCGCATCCCGTCCCCCGCATTTTTGGGGTACGCCTTTACCGAGACTCACCGAGACCTACCGAGATAATCACCCATCGGGAACTCGGTAAAGCTACCTGTTTTGATCTGCAAATCGCAGTCGCAAGACTTGACTGGTATCTTTTGCACAATAGGGCACGGCTGAATCGCAATGCCTCTATCCCAAGGTACCGCCAACCTGCTTTGTGTGTTGATATGTCTCTCTCAAATCGCAGGCGACCTAAGGGAAAACGGCTGACAAGAGTGGGACTGAAGCTCATGGATCACTACCCTCGATTGTCTCATTAGCCTACCATCATACGGATAGCACCATTAGACTCCCGTATCTTATCGCCTGCTGGCTTGAAATCTTGATATCTCCTTCCGAGTTCCTCGCGGCGAAGTGATATGACTCAATGGTTCCTTTCGGTTCCCATGCCTGCTACTATCTGCGTCCCATCAGCAACTCATTCAAAACACGACGACGGAAACGCTCTCTTGTAGGAATCGAATTACTTTGTGACTTTATAGTATACAGATATGCGATGCTCCCTGATCCATACGCAGCTGTCTTCAAGTTGTCCCAACCAAAGCGCCTATGGCTTCCCCGATGACGGGGCAATATGCACGCAGCAAAACCCGGCACCGCGGTCTGCAAAGAAAACCAAAAACTTCTGTCCTTCTTGTGGGACGCTCGCAACGCCTCCGCCCTATCCCGAGAATCAGTGGGTATGTCGAAAATTTTTAGTGAATACCAGAAGCTCCATCGCGAAAAGATTCTTAAACTATGGCAGCAAACGCCGCCCAAGACATATGCTGTTACATCCGCTCCTTTACGCTCTATATCTGGCTGTGTCGCGCACGCTTGCGAGCACTTCCTGTAGATGATGATGATGGGTGCAGCTTGTCGTTCTTCTCCCTCTTGAGCTTGTCGTCGAGGACGCGGGCTGGTGACAGTCAGCATGGCTACACCTTTCAACATTGTCACGCGTCGCCACATACTAAGCACGTCGTATCCGAACTGGGGGTACTCCAAGCACAAAGAGCGGAACTCGTCCTCGGCCTCGGAGCGGAGAGTATGCGAACGCATGGCCCAGAACTGGGCGACAGGGGCGCGGATGGTGGTGTCGTCCTTGCCGGTGTAAGCGTAGACGTAGCGGGCGTAGGCGATCTCGCCCTTGGCCGTCGAGTTTACGCAGTGGATCTTGGAGCTGGCGAGGGAGCGGAGACTGGGAATGCCAAACTTCTCAGCCAGGGTGTAGACGCGCGCGTGCTTCAGAAGCTGCGTGCCGTCCGCGTCGACTTCGGGAGTCGAGGGGTCCTGCTCGAGGGTGCGCGAACCGGCGATTTTGCGGGGGAAGTACTCTCCCGTGTAGAGAAACTCGAGGAAGCATCCGACCGCGTCGAGGTCTTCGCTGGCGAGCTCGACTTGACGTGGCTGTTGCGCATTGAGTTAATGACGTCTGGGAAACGCTGATTGTGCCGACTGATTGGCGCGACCTGGGAGAAACACTCACGCTGCCATCGTCGCTGAACTGGGCGCATGCCTCTTTGAAGAAGGGGCTCTGCACCAAAAGGGCCTGATGGGCCGTGACAATAGCTTCTGAATCGCCCTGACCGACCAGGAGAGTGACGACGGGGCTGGACAGGTAGCTGACAAAGGTGGTGCGCGGCTCGACGGGGTCGCTCTCGCCGCCCTCGGCGAAGGGAAGTTCCTCAGCATTGGCACCACCCTCCTCGGCCATCTCGACATCGGCGCCAGGGATGACGGGGGCGTCTTCGACTATTTCAACGTCGTTGTTGAATTCTTCAGCCATTGTGACGGACTCAGGCGCAACCACGCGATCGGGATCGTGGGTTTAGTGTTGTGTAAAGGAATGATTCGACCAGACTGCGTCGGGCTGTGCGATTTGTCGCGTCGCTAATTGGTCAATTGATTGCGTAGGCAAGTGGAACAGATCGGGCGCGTAAAGAGAGGCGCAAAAGAATGTGGTCAGCGTCGACGTAGGTTCGAACTGGATGAACAGCAAGCAGGAGGTGGGAGGAGAAAGTCTGGCCAGGTTCCAGCTTTGGGGAGAGAGGGGGGGGGAGGGGTGGTTAGACGGCGGACGGGAAGCTCTGAGCTCCAAGGTCCGAAACAAAGATGGGCGCTGCAGCTGTCTTGCTGCGCAGTTAGAAGCGGGTCCGGGGTCTCTTTCGTTTCCACAGGCAACATGCGACTTTGGAGTCAATGAAGCTCTACGAGACGACAATCGATAAGCTCAGGTCCCGTTTAAGGTAGCTGCCGTTTATCGATAACCTGGAAGGTAAGCCACTGCACATGTCATCAAATTTACCCATGGATCCGTATCCGTATTCGTCAGGTATTAACCCGAGCCACCTATTTAGACGAAGACAGCGTTTATACCGCGTGGCTTCTAGTGAACAACGGCTTTGTCAACATGATTTTCCGCAAGAACACTCATCTAATGCTCGAGACCCACACTCCTCAAAACCAATGCTGACTATCGTCGACTAGCGAGTTGCATTTCAATCAAAGAGGCGTCGCCAAGTCTTGCAAAACTTCAAGCGGGTATAATCCCACCCAATTAATTGTTTACTCTGTACTATGAACAGAATCGCTGTCAGACGTGAAGATACCCAGAAGTACACCGCTGTAATGCAATATGATGATGCGCTCTGCTCCTTCAAATGCGATGACCATGCTGCAAAGACAGTGACCTGCCTATTAACCCCCTTTTCATTATGTCCCCCTCATTTCCATTGATTCTCCTGTCCGGGAAGCCCAGGCTCCCTAGCCTTTCTGTTCAATGCAAGGTTCGGTAAGCTGGGATGGATAAGCCTCAATGGCTGTTCCTGCTTCAATACCTCCCAGTGCTTCTTCAGTGTCTTCTCACTCACCACCAGCTCAAAGTTTGCCAGGAAACAGAAACTAATCTCCAGCCGTGCGAGCTCGAGGTTACTAACGCCTCCAACTTTGGCTATCTTGCTATGCGGATAGCTAAGATCCTCCAGCGCCTTCATTGCCACTCTAAGGCCCGCCAGAACCAGACGGTGCGCATTTCGTCTGGTCACAGGTATTGCTCGTTCATCAACGGCTAGACGGTGGATGTACAAGCTGGTAGCAAGGTACACGGCGGTGCTCATTGGGCAGTATTGGTGAATGCGCGCGAGGTATTCATCGATACCGATGGGTGGCGGTTTCTTGGAGTAGAACTTGCGTGTAATAGCGCTATGCTGAAGGTTAATCGGCTGTGAGTTTTCTCCAATTATTATATGTGGTTCGGGTGCTTTCGACGGTGGTGGAGGGGTTGGTGTTTGTGTATGCCGCAGATGGACACCGTCTATTAATTGTGGTGTTGACCCAGTAGAGCCGCTCATCTGAGACATCATTGGTGGTCGCCGAGGCGAGGAGGCTTGAGCAGCGGCGGCGGCCTCGGCCTCCTGGCGCATGCGAGCCAAGTTCTTCTGTGAGCTGGTGCGGATGAGTTCCTTCTCTGCCGCCATGCCTCTCATATTGGGTAGTGTCGGGCTTGTAGGTGGTGGTGTTGGAGGAATATCGCCTGTGATTTTCACGAGGGCCTCAATCCCACCACTTAAAAGTTTCATCGCCGCTCTAGGCGATAACTTGAAGACATCGTCGTTCTCGGGGACGTTCGGTGGGCTTTCGCAGTCGGTAATACCCAGTCGTGGATCGGACGAAGGGTTCGGCTTCGGCGGAGGATCGGGCACAACGCTCGCGTTCGAATCTGTCAGCTGAAGAGGCGCGGCATCCTCAGGCTTCGGAGTCATCTCTGCGATGGTTTGGTGGTGCTCCTGGGGAATGCACCGGGGATGATTACTAGGCGCAAATGACGTCGGTTTGGAGTAGGAGAGCAATGCCTCAGTATGTTCGGCGTGGGCAATAGCGAGCATCTAGCGCTTCGAGAAAATAGATAATCGTAAGCAGAAGCCCGGAGAGGGCCGTGTAATGTGTGTACCGTTGAGCTGTTTTACACAACTATCATGGCCCAGGTATTATCTTGGCACAGTTGCAGTGCACAGTTGCAGTTCCCAGGTCTGGCTCGGCCTACCGGGGTCGGAATATGTCGCGGGGAACCTCTTTCGCAGATGACTCTTGGCTGGTCTGGCCGAAATGGCGTAGTTTCGAGCCGTTCTGGTACAAGCCAGCAGGTATGTCGTCTCTAACAAAAGAAACGACTTGGCGAGGAAAACCCGATCGTGGTTCAACTGTTGAAATGGGAGTATCTTTATTCGGTTGCGGAAGATGAAAGGACGAGGGGAAGGCAAGGGTACGGCACGGCGTAAGGCGATGTTTCCCCAAGGATGTTGGCGGTCGAGAGGGGTTCGAAAAAGTCGGTTAATATTAATGTGTTGCGGCTGCGCGTCTTGCCCGGGGGTTTAGAGCAGACCAAGTGGTTCGGCTGGCAAGTCGCTGGTGGTGGTAGCGGTGGTTCGTGGTGGTGGTCTAGACCGATAGGGTCGAATTACTGGTAGAGGTGCTTGTGACGGAGCACAATGTTTTTGCTGATCTCGAAGCTAGTGCGGGGAACTGCAGGCAAGCGGCAGGCGAAGAGAGCGCGAAAGACACGGCATCCCCGTTGCGGTGGAGGGATCGGCGATCGTCTGAAGTCGAGTACGCTGCAAAATGCTGCAATATTCATCCACACTGCAGGTAGGTGGCAGACCTGACAACGACTAGGACCGGGGAGAGGGCTGGGTCGAAGCTGAAAGGAGACGAAGCGAAGCGCTGTGAGCAGATTGGGGGGCACCTGCAGCAAGAAAAGCAAAAGGCTGGGCAGGCCACAGAACAGCAGACTTTGGGTGGCGTTTGCCTGATGATATTTGCAGCTGGCGCAATGCGGATGCGATGCGGCGGACGTCGCCGGCGCAGAGCGTGCGAATACAAGCAGGGAAGCTTAGTGCCGTGCAGGGGATGGAATATCGTCTTGTCTTCTGCGGAGGCGACCCGACCGGGAACGCGCTTCACCGAGCTGGCTAGTTGAGTGGTGATCGACGGATGGGTTCGTTGGGCTGGCGGGAATATACCCCAGCAGATTGACGGGCAAGAAAAAGGCTGCTGTATCAGTCGATGCCCATCAGACAACTCGACGAGTATTCTGGGCTGGCCGACGGAGCGAGGGGGGAAATATGCAGAAACCGCGACAGGAGGTGACGCGAAGTGGCGAAGAGGACGGACAAATAACAGTAATGAGAAGATAATGGGAGGGTTCAATGAATATCGATGAAGCCGCCGATCATGGATCGTGGTAGGCGTCGGCGGTTGTGCGTCAATCGTGGTCGTGGTCGTGGTATGCGTCTGCAAGTAGTGTCGTTGAGTGCCCAGGTCGGGATGGGAGACCGGGACATTTTAATGAGCGTTACAATTTTTGGAGAAATTTCAACGTTCGGAGGGACGCCGGGACTTTGGGAAGGCCGACCTAGAGGGGTAGGGAGGGGCTGGTCCCGCAGGCGGAGGGTGCAATGGAATGGAAGTCGAAGCAGCCTGGACCCGGGAGGGAGTGCTAGGAGGGGAGTCCCTTCCTTTCCTGCGTTGCTTTTTCCTTTTTCGCTGTCCTTTCACTCTTTCCTTTCCTTGTGTCTTCAGTTCTTAAGGTACACCTTTCCGTTCTCGTTTGTAGGGAAAATAAGATAGATACCTAGTCATCCATCTATCCACACATCTCGGGAAGGACCAAAGAGAAGCACCTGCTGACTTGGACTTGGCACTCTTACACGGGCGGGCAAATAACATGGCATGCGCGCCCTCCACTTTGAGTTTACATCGTCTCGGATCGGGCAGGCGGCTGCAGAAGTAGCTCGGTTCCCGCGGTGGCGGTTGAAATTATTGTGCAATACGGAGTATCCAACCTTGAGTGAGGGGCTCCCTGGCGACGGGACATGACCAAGATTGAAAATACGATTAGGCGTCTATAAGGCCCGATAGCAACTGCCCTACAACCAGGGAGTACTCTACAATGCTGACGGATAGCTGACCTCTTCAACTATCCGTACTTTATTCTCTTCTACCTTAACCAACCAACCAACCTACCTTACCTACCTTGAGGTCATAAGAATGCAAGGTAACCTACCCTAGTTGGAGGTGGCATCCGCTCGCCCTTTGCTGCACCGGCTTGCGGTGTTTCCTTCCACGTCCCAGTTGCAAACCTGGAATGCGCCTCCTCCAAATCCCCTCAGCGGGCACCTTCCATGGGTGTGGTGGTTTTGAGTAGGGGTTGAAAGAGCTAAGAGGAGCACGGACATTGTCCTGGTCGGTGCTGTGCCCCCACCACGCCCCCCGTTTTCTTTTGGAGGCAGGCGCCGTGGGACCTGGGTGGCCCAAAGTGGAGATTTAGGGGTCTCTTTTTGCTTGTCAAATGACCAGATTTGATGCACGGCAGCACGAGCCCCAGACGCTTCACCAGGCGCACTCTGGTCTCGAGGCGCTTCCAGATATCCCCTTCCAGCCTTCCAGGCCACACCGAATTGCGATGGTGGAGCTTTTTTCTGTCTTGCCATCTATTTCCCTGCATATTCATACGCCGCTACAGATTCGATGCGACGGCAAACTGACGATAATGATACGAATGATCCAGTCTGTCCTCGTCGGAACGTCCCATGCCAAGCTCTCCGTTAGACACCACACCACTACTAGGCACCTTCACCCGACTCTTGCATACCTACTAAGCTACCTTAGGTATGTTGATGTTTTGAACCAGCAGAATCCAGGCAAGCCGCCAGCCCACCCATCCATCCAAAGCCATCATCTACGGCCAGTCAGACTCGACGGATAGACACCACTTCATCCAGCCACGACTCCGGCTGCCTTCTCGGGGAGATCTACCCGCTGGGTTAGGGGAGGTCTCGTTGCCTTAGTTTCCCCTGGCCTTATCAATCATGGCCGTGGACCATCCTAGTCAGTGATAACGAGCCTCTCTCGCATCCAACATCCGCCGCCATCCATATGCTTACGAACGTTGGAAGCTGCAAAACAAAGGGGGGCATTTCCCAAGCCTAGACGAGCAGCCACTATTCTCGATCGATTCCAGTCGCACGCAGCATCTTGACGTTCACACACCGGGATCACCCATGCAAGTCCCACGTGATTACTCGCGCCATCGTATCCCAACAACTATATCGAATGTCGGGTGACTCTATATTCTGCCGGGTGAACCCCGCGGCAGTCCATCTACTTATCCATCTACACGACTCGGTGTAGTACCAAAACCCCCCAAAAAAACCATGAACAGATCATCGGATTCATCAGGCCTCGATTACCGACCTGGTGAAGTAATGCCACCCGCTTCCGGTACCGCCTTGCTTCTCCAATGTGATGTCTAGGAACCCAGGGCGACTTTGATGTCCAAAACGGCCGGTTGGCCGCCTTGCACCGTCTCAATGGCCTTCTTGAGCACGCCGTCGAGTTCCGCCGCGTTATCTACGCGTGCAGAAAACAAATCCCCGCCCGCCGCTGCCTTGGCGATGCCGGCATAATCAGGTGCCGGGTCGAACGAAATGTTGATTTCCTCGTTGGTCGCCTTGGAGCCCTCGCCATCGGGGTGCACCAGAAGCAGCGACCGCCGGGGTGCGTTCCATCCTATCGCCATGTCAGCTTGCATTCCAAATCCACAACAAAGACTCATCTTTCACTCACCCTTATTGTTCAGAATAATCGTCAGAATCGGGATATTGTACCGCTTGGCGATCCAGTACACACTACCTGGCACAGAAAAGAGGAACGTGCCGTCGCCCACGATTTGCACAACGAACTTGCCCTTGTTGCTACCGCCATTCTCGAAATCGGACGCCAGCTTGATTCCGAGAGCACCGCCGCCGGACCATCCGAGGCCACCACCGCCGCAGTTGATCCACGACCCAGGCAGTGTGGGTTGAAGGTTGTCATGGACGAAAATGGTGTTTGTCACAGCCTCAATGGCCCAGATGGTGTCCTCGGGGCAAAGCTTCTTCAGTGATCGGGTAAGGTGGCCAGTGCCAAACTCGCCATCCGCCTTGGGCTGTGCTTTTTCCTCAATTTTGGCAAGGAGCTGCTTATGAGACTCATTGACCTTTGCCTCACGCTCCTTGGCTTCCGCTGACTCCAATTGGGTAGAATATTGGTCCTTGAGGTGGGCAGTAATCTGCTCAATTGACAACAGGCTACTCGCTCGGTATCTCGACTGGGCGGCAATATAGAAGACGGGCATTTGCTGCTTGAGCGGGTCAACATCAATGTGGAAGATCTTGGCGTCCTTCTTGGGATGGCACAAAGTGTTGATCCATGGGACGTCGCAGTCGAGAACGACAATGACATCGGCGGTGTTCACGGCGTCGTCAATACCAAATCGGAGGCCCAGCCAACCGGGGTGGTCTGCGGGGAAGCACATGTCGCTACCACCCGTGTCAACAACACGCAGACCCTTGACAGTGTTTGCGAGCTCAACGAGCGCGGCGGGGAATTGATGATCTCTGCCGCCGAACCCAGTGACGATGAGGGGCTCCTTTGCACCAGCCAGCGCCTCGGCAATCTTATTGACGGCGCTCTTGGGAAGACCTCCGAGCTCAACAGGGTCCCACTCATCTTGGCGGATGCTGTACGGTTCGACCTCAGCCTCCATGACCTCTCTGGCGCCGCAGAGATATACGGGGCCTTGAGGGTCCGATTTGGAGAACTGCAGGGCGCGATTGACCATTTGTTTAACGTTGGCTGCTGTCTTGAGCTCACCAGAGTACCGGCAGTACTGCGAGACAATTTGTTTTTGGTCGGGGACATCTTGAATCCAGTGGATGTACTCTGTTCGACTGCCCCTCATTTCGCCCTCGATAGTGAAGGGAGATAGTCCGGCAAACACCAAGACTGGTGCGCGACCGCAAGACGAGTTGTGGACGGCAGCACCTAGACCTTGCGTTCCTACGTCGACATGGACAATAACACATTGCGGCTTTCCCGTCAGGCGGGCGTAACCATCCGCCATGGACATGGCAACCATCTAAGCAGTTGTTCAGTATAGGCCAATTGATCGCGCACGGGAAGAAAAGGGTTTCATTACTTCGTTGGGACAGGTGATGATTCTAGGGAAATTTCCTTTTCGCTCCCTCTGACCCTTGACCATAGCTTCAATGATACTGGGGTGGTCAGAACCCAGGTTCACGAAGCAGTGGGTGACGCCGGCGTCCCATAGCGCCTCGAAGAAGGCAAAAGAGGCAGTATACATCTCGGTTGATTTTGAAGATAAATTCCGGGCTTGTTCGATGGTGGCCTTAAATTCGTCTTGGACCACGGGCCGAGAGTTGGTGGGCTTTATACCAGCATGGGAGGAGGATGATGATGTTGGTTCCCCACCTCGATGCAGTGGGGCCGCGGATGAGAAGCCGGCAAGTTGACGACCGGGGCCGACAACGGCGATGCTGGACGCCAATGTCTGGTTGAAGCGGACTAATCCCCCTGCTCTCCCACCTGCAGGGCCGAAGCTGCGCAAGCAACGTGCCATGGGCACCGGCAGTTGTCTGAAAGGCATGGTGAAGAACGGTAATAACGGGCCAACCAGCCAGCAATGTGTATGAGAGCGGCGGGGTATCAATAAGTGAGATGGGAGTGTGTGTAAGTGACTACTTCACAGTGCTATCAAACACCTTTTGGAGGGGGAGCAAGCGCTTGGCAACTATGTTAGTACTGAACGGACCAACAGAATCGAGTTTGGGTGGCACACAACAACGAGTAAGCTGTGGAGGACTCGACCGATGTACGGGATTTGGCCGATGACACACCTCAGCGGAGAAGAGGTACAAGTCTGGATACCTCTTCCTCTGAGCTGTAGGAAGTAGGGTGTTTGGCTGTAGTCAATCGGATTGGGTTTCCCGTGACGGGCGACAAGACAAGTTATACGCCCGGAACTGGGATCATTCCACAGACCGACGGCTGGTCCAAGCTTGTTCCCCAGAAAAGGGAGCATCACGCCCTTGGTACCAACCCCGCAATCGGCTCAGGGCCCGGTTTCATAGGGCGCTTGTTGTCGGCTCACTGCAGGGTGTCCTGCAATCGGTCAATTCAGCCCCCTCCCCCAGATAAGGGAAGGGAGCACAAGGCGTACCACGGCAGGGGTTGAACCCTTGGAAGAAGAATTGGGTTGCCGAGCTTGGCTGTTGAGATGACACGCTGGCAGTGGGCTAGCTCCATCGCTGAGCAATGTAATACATGAGATGAGCTTGTTGATACGGTTCGTGTTCTTGTTGCTTTCCCTTCCATTAGCAAGAGAGTCTCGAAACCGAAAATCCTGGCCGCTTCTTTTGGTGTCAAAGACCGCTTTGGGCCGACAATTGCCGCTTCTCGGCCCTGGACAACGCGAATCAAGGCCAACAGTAGTCCGTAGAAGCAGAGGTGATAGGGAGAAACCCAAAGTGCCATCTCACTCCCTTCCCCGCAGCAGAGCGCGTCCGGGCGTTCCTGGAGTCCCAGCTGATGCATCGAGCTCGTGCGGGGTGCAGGCGGTGTTATCTGAGGAAGCTCTGAGCTAATGAGATCCACCCGGCCTTTGAGCTCTTTGACAAAGAGAAGCCGAAGTCCAAGGCTCATTTGCTAGTTTTGTCGATTTACGCCATCATTTTCATCGTCAAATGTCGTCCCGTGACTATGGCAAAGTCACATTGCTGTCATTACACCACATGCTATACATCTACACCAAACACCATCACCCTTCGTGCCTCAATCCGTCCGGCCAGATCCATCCGAGCACAGAGCCAATGGCAAATGCAACCAGGCACGTCAACACCGTCGTCGCCATGAGGCCTGCGTAGCTCACTTTCTTGGGCACAGCCACCGGGGGCTTGGCCCTCCTCCTCCCCGCCGAGGAATGCGCCGTCGCCGTCGCCGTCGGCTTCATAGTAAGGAGGCTCTCCCATGAATAAACCGTCGGCGCCGTCGGCGTGCCGTACAACGTCGTCTCCGGCTTGTCTGCGGTCTGATATCCCCAGCCGGACGTGCTGATGGCGCTGGGCGTGCTCGTCGTCACGGCCGTCGACTCTCCCGACCAGTCTTGCCCGTCAAAGGCCTTGTACCAAGACCACTCTGAAGAGGGGTCGTTCCAGTCGGCACGGATGCCCGGGCACTCGTTTAGACAGTCGTACAGCCCCGCCGCGGTGCCCTGTTTCTTGTTGCCTTGCTCGTCGGCGAACTTGAGGCCGCAGGTGCGGTAGCAGGCGTACGAGCTGCAGGGGAGGAGGGACCACGGCTTCAGCCAGCCGCCGTAGTGCTCCCATGATGTCCAGGCTTTGATGTCGGTGTCGACGAGGGTGAAGTATGAGGAGGATTCGACGCCGTATTGGTTTGTTTGGACCTCGGTGCCGTTGAACTCCATGGCGGTGATTTTGTACTTTTCCGAGGGACCGAGGTCTTTGGGAATTGTGATTTTGGGGTTCGTTGTGCCGACGGGGATGAGATCGCTGAGGTAGCCTGTCGCAAATTGGACGCTTGGTCAGCGATACGCTCTATCGATACCTGGCAAAGAAGACTGGAGTGAGGGGCCTTACACGTGTACATCCATTCGTCAGTGTACAGGAACAGCTGGTAGTGCTCGTACAGCATGTCGTGTCCGCAGCCGACCTCCTTGTCTACGGGGTTCCGGCACACCGCCGTGGTCTCGTCAAATACGGGGCCCGGGAGGGTCTCGTAGACATAGGGCTGCTTCCAAAAGTCGAAGCCGATTTCGATCTCTGTCGGGACGCCGGCTTCGATCTCGGAAGGAACAGTGACGTTTAGGGCGTGCGCTGTGGCGAGGACCATTGCGAGGACCATTGCGAGGAGGGCGAGGAGCGGGTTGGGGAGCGCCATGGCTGCTAAGATGGTGGTGGAGGTAGTTTATCGCGATCTTGGGGGTTGGATGAGAATCGCTGAGCAGTTGTTTTACTTCGTCGGGATATTGAACGAGAGGACGGGAGGCGAAGGCTCCCTCGTGGCTTGCTGCGACAGCGGCGAATGCGACGGCGGGTGACGGGGGAGGAGAAAGGAGGCCATCGCGAAAGAATCTGTAGGACGGCGGATTTGGATAGGGCGAAAATTGTTTTGTTGATGCGAAGGATCGGGATGCTAGACAGGGGGGTGGAGGATTTGCTTAGCTCCTTCCTGCTTGGTCCATTGCGCTAAGAATTAAGGTGCTTTGGTGTCGTGGCCCGGGAGACGGGCCCGAAAGTGGGCCCGTTTACGGCGTGTGTGCGGAGGGGGAACGGGTTAGATTGTGCGGCATTGGGTTTCCACGGCCTTTCGGACATGAATCTTTGCTTTCTCCTCGAGAGTTGATTTGGTTTGTGTCTTCAGCAGGTATAAAAGCTTCGTGTTATGCGTTGAGGAGGTCAGACATCAGACGGCGGCGTTTTACAGAATAAGGGCAACGTCGGCATTGGAGTCTTACTCTTACCTGTACTTGTTGTAGAGCTTGTAACTGACCATAAGAAAGAACGTATATATTGTACGGGGCGATTATGCCATGGTGAAGAAGTGAGCTCGAGCGCTGGGGGATCTGCCTCCATACCACCCCCGCTCGCATCGGAGTGCCGCATGATGCTTGGAGCTCGAGTCCTCTGCCAAAAGTTACAAACTGGAGCTCCGCATCACCTGTTCTCCATTTTCGGATGAACGCTGTTTGAAATACTTAAGCCGCCCCCTCTCCCTCTGAGGTCATGGTCAGGGGGGATATCTTTTCAAATACTCTTTGCACTCTTCCAGACTCCCGCCTCGCTAAACCACAACCTGGAGACTACCTAGGTATCAATACATCCACTCTCAACGACCTCAAAAGAAAAGAAAATTACCAACGCAGTCCGTACAATCAACTCAAGGCTCGACAACATGTCCATGAACCTGACCTCACCCTTCTCCCCCCTCCCAAGCTACATCCTCGGCACAAGCCTAACCTTTATCGGCCTCCTCGGCTTCGTCCGCCCCCTGGCACTCTACGACGCCTTTGGCATCGCGCGCCCGCTATCCGCGCAGCCCGAGGCCTTTCTCTACGCCAAATCCGCCCGCGATCTGGCGACGGGTCTGTTGTTCATCGGCCTGGAGACGTACCAGGAGGGCAGCGGGAATGAGGACGCGGTAACTGCGCTGTTGGCCGTCACGGCGATGGTTGGGGTCGCGGACTGGTGGGTTGTGAGGGCCATGGGGGGCAAGGGGGGACGAGGGGATGGGGGCAAGGCGTTGACGCATTTGGGGAGCGGGATTTTTCTTGGGGGGTTGGTTATTTGGAGGTGGATGTATTAGTGTTGGATTGCTGTGAGTATTTGTGTTTTGTACTTGGCGCAGTGAAGCTTTTGTGTTGGGGTTGGGATAAGGGTGTTGTATGACGCGGGCTGGGGTTGAAGCGATTTAATGGTCGAACTGGGGGCCAGAAGAAATCAATCATTGCATATACTTGATCCCGACTGGAATAAGTATCCATTCCGTGGTCCGACTGTAACTTCTGGGCTGTGGTTAGCATGGGCTCCCCATACAACTCCTTATGCGGCATTCATCAGAATGTACTGGCTAGCAGCGTGTCCATTAGCCAGTTCCCCTGTCTCCTCATCTAGACCTTATTCTCATCAACAATGATCTTGGGCAAAACCCTAATCTGCCAGTCGCCGATATCGTGATAATCGCCGTATGTCCGTAGGCCCCTCAATAGGATCTTGCTTCTCCGCCCTCGATCGCACCGCTGTGCGAGAAGTTCCCGCTTGACCACTGTTTGCGGAGAAGTAGGGGGCGGCGACGCCGGCAAGCTATTTCAATCAGCCAGGAACCAGTTGACATGGTCCTAAAAAAGCAACTCACGTATCGGGTGGCCATGCTGGTTCCAGCGAGAACAGCCCATACACCCTCGAATGTCAGAAAGGTGGAAAGTATAGACCCGCCTGATTCGTGACTCAGTAAAAGACGAGAGGTATTATCGGGGAGATTAGATCGACTTACTAAGATCGAATACCTCAGGTTTCAGACGCCCTAGAATGGAGAATAACCGAAATCACCTGCGATGGACAGAGTTGGCGCCAGGAATACCAACTGCATTGCCACCGTTGGCCACAAATCCAAAGCCAGCCGTGCGACCTAGTTCAATCTGCTGAACGAGCCATCCACCATCCTCGTGAACGATGAGACTGATTGAAAATGTTGCAAAGTCGCATTAAATGATCTCATGCTGAAGTGCTTGGGTGGCATGCTTGCAACAGGGGCTCCGGGCAGCACGCAGCCCAACCTTTGCTGCCGACATATTTTCGACCTTGAACCAACTGCTTTGTTCCTCTCGTGGGAGGTGAATTGTGTCTCGAGCCTATCTGGGCAAAAGGTGCACTATGTCACTTGTTTCAAAATCCCCGAAGAACCGGGTCTTTATTGTGTTGCATCCATCTCCTGAGTTTCTTGATGTATGATGCTTTCATCAGCTATTTTTGTATTCTAGAATTTGACACCATTGTGCGAGTAGAGCATTGTTATACATAAGTTCCCTTGTACTGAGAACAATAGAGACCTCGATTGGATGGCTCACTTCGAATACTTAATATGCCAACAGAAACCAATGTCAGGAAGCCAACCAACAACTACTTGACCATCGACGAATTCACTACCACGCCTTCGGCCCTTACTGGTTAAAATCGTGTATCAGTTCACAAGAATATACTCTAAGCTGCATTAAGTACGGGGTAGATCGTAATTAAATCTACGCAAAACCGAAAAAGTACCTCAAGGCCTCTAGTGCTAGCTTCAATTACCTACCCTTGGTACCACCAACTCTCCGCACCAACTCTCTGCAATGGCCCCGCCTAACTACGACTCGGCTGATATCAACCGTTGGATGAGAGCCATGTCTGTTACTCGTGAGGATACAAGTCCTTGTGAAACAGAGTTTCCAATCTCTCCTGTAATCGACTACGCTCAAGTGGCCTCGTCCCTGACGGGAATGACCTCTAAATCGGCTTCTCACAGGGAATCACCGGCAAGTGGATCCGGAGAAACATCAACTTTCACCATCAGTGCAAGGTGCGCCAAACGGTCTGCAGGCTGTGGCGACGCACAGTCTGAAAACGGGATTGCTGAGGGAAGTGCGAAAAGGCTTAGGTACAGTTATACTCCGTTGGCTGCTTCGACACCTAATCCTCCAGCAGCCGATACCTTCGTTTACCCCAACTTCGAATGGCACAGGCAAGATGGACGCAAAACGGAGGACGAGGTCACTGAAATGGAGGAAACAAATCACATTGTGTCAAGAATCCGCGCAACAAGCCTATCCCAGGAGGAACAAACGACTGTCATCTCGTCTTACTGGCCAGAGATTCGCGACGACTATTACAGATCGCTTTGCGACCCAAGCATCAGATTCTGTATTCCTTGTCTCATTTGCCAAGAGAATTGCGCGGATGTAAGGACACCACCCTGCACAGTCAACTTCGAAATGCCTGTCATCCTTGCTTGTGGCCACATGATTGGCGAGAACTGCCTCAAAGAGTGGTTTCAAGCGCGTGAACATGCAGATGAGCCAAAGAACTGCCCTGTGTGCAGAATGAAGTTGCAATGTTCCGAATGCAAGGATGCGTTCGCATACTCGTTCCTCTGTCACGACTCTCACGTCCCAAACACCCAAACCTACAGCGAGCAGCCCATGGAGCAGACTATTTGCAACCAATGTCAGGCGGAGACTGATTTTGGGAGCCGCGTTCTCCAAGGCGAACACATTGCTGAGCCGTTTCCCGGCGGCGGTGTGTCTCAACATTTGCAAGCTTGGTTCCGTCAAGTGAGGGATACTTTCGAAACCGAAGCGAAAATACGCGTAGGCCATGGATTGAGACCCATTGACGTAACCGGTATGGTTCATAAAGAGATTTTTGCCGAGATGGAAGCATGGCTGTATTTCTTGAAGGAGAATGTGACTTATAGCATGCAGGGAAGGATAGAGACGATGGAGAGGGAGCTCGACCAAAATCGATGGTGGAATCGAGCCTCTGCAGACAGTGAAGATGAATCTGAGGACTATGAGGGCGAAGGTTACGATGAAGACGAGAGTCTCACCGAGGACGAGGAGTACGGCGGTGCTAATTATCGCTGGTGGGATTGAGTTTAGTTTGCTTGTCGCGTAGATTCGATAAATGCCGGGGCATTCCTTTTTTGATTTGCACAAAATGTATTTTATGGGAAGCCAGTTGTGATTCGAATATTGATTTTTGGGAGCTTGCACACGTTCGCAGCCGCAGTAATATGGGACAAAAGTCTATCTAACCGTTTGTCGTATCCCGGTCTCCATCTGCGCCTGAAGTGCAGTTGATCTGGAGCAATTTGTTGTCCAGGTTCTTGCATTCGTATACAGGTGGTTTACCACTCGGCACTGTGACGGTCACGTTCTCAGCGCGGATGTTGCTGCACCGCTGCGTCATCAGAAAGAAGTCAGTGATGTTTCCAAAAGTTGCTTTCTAGCGATCTACCGGAAAACTTACGTCTGGGGAACTGCAAACAAGACTGCCGGCTTGCGGATCAAGCTTAGCTGATGTCGTACCGTAAATGTTCTTGAGAGTGATGTCGGAGATTGTAAGATTGGCCTGCATACACTTTGTTTAGCAATGACAACTAGGGTTGCCGAGGCATGCGTGATTTACCGGGAACTCTTCGCAGAGCGTCTGGTTCTTCTGACCGTAGCATTGCGTGATTGTGATGGCTCGATCATTGTTGATATTCTTGAAAAGGTCATACGTCACGTTCCTGACACGTCCGAGACCACCTCCACCGTTCAGGAGCGTCTGGAAAGCAGTCTCGATTCCAGGCCAGACTTTGATGCGGGCTGCATCGCTAGCTTTAGCCATGGTTGTGTTAAAAATGTAGAGGTTTTCCACGATGTCGGTCTCGCCTTTGTACTGGCCCAGGGAGCCAACGCTCATGCCGTGAGAGCCAGTGCAGTCCAAATTCTGAACGACGATATTGGTGCTGTTGGGCTTGAAAGAGACGCAGTCTGTCAAAGCCACCAAAGTCAGTCCCTGAAGTATTAACCTAGATTTTGAAATTCAGGCTGAATTCAGCTGGAACATGCACAATGAAGCTGAGCTTACCGTCTGTGTTGATGATGACTGAGTTCTGTATCACAATGCGATCGGATCGGTAAGTATCCCATCCATCGGAATTGGCAATCTTGACACCATTCTGACTCTGTTGCAATCACATAAGACTTCCAGCTATACTGATATGTGTGTATCGACATACCTCGGCTTTGAGATCCATATCGCTAATGATGACATCGGTGCTGTTCGCAATCAAGTTGAACCACTGGCGTTATCAGCTGGGGACAGTCTCAGTTCGGGGGCCATAACCCACGTTGGGAGGATTGCGCATGCGAAGGTGGGACATTGTCGCTCCCTTTACTCCGTCGAAAGAAAACAACATTGGTCTCAACAGCTGTTGTGACGTAGGTCAGCACGCGGTTCGAAAAGGTGCAAACATCAGCACACTCACGCTGCTGTTGGTCCTGATCGCCTCCCAATACGCCTGACCGCGGCCATCAATGACGGACTTATCGTTCCCAAGGTCACCATAGATATTGACATCCTCGCCACCAAGCTTCCAAAAGACTGACTGGTTCTGGAAAGCAAACTTGAAACTATTTTCGGCCCAGTAGTAGGGATCGTCTTTGAAGTGAATCTCACCGGTGATGACCACGTCAATGTGCTTCAGGAAGGTGAGGTCCAAGGGGGAACTGATCAGGTAGGTCTTGTCAAAAACCACCGTACCGCCGTCATTGCAGTCCTCGAAGGCCCTCAGAATCTTTGGTGCGTCGTCTATTCCCTCCGTACAGCTTGGCTTGACATAGCAGAAGCGGTCCTTGTCTCTGGGTGGTGAAATTGGCATGGCCTTTCCAGTATTGAACGGAGCGGGTTCGACTTGAGGCCGCTTAGGAAGCTCATCTTGAGCTGAAACGGTCAACAATAGGCTAAGGGTGGCAGCCCACAAAGTGAAAAGGGCAGTCCGCATCGTAGACCGACTTGCACGCACACTGAAAGGATTGAGTGGGTGTTAGTAACGTGGAACTTGGAAACACTATAGCTTCAATCCTCAGTCTCCCGAACCATTCTTCCTCAAATACTCGAACTCTCAAGAGCTTGTGTTTAATGACATGTCACTGGCGACGGATCATGCCATCCCAATTCCAAGATGAGTCCAACAATACGTGGAAAATTTGTGGGGTGCATCAAAGGTTCCTCGGCTGGTCGGTGCAAGATTTCGCGGACCGGGGTGGGAGGAAACATGCCCAATCTTCCCCAAAGGCTCATTGATCAACACGATAAACCCCCTTGCGGCTGAATCCTTACTGCGCGTCACCGCATCTTGCTTCTTTCTGAGCGCGCGGGGTAAATAGAGATGCGGAGAAACGTTCAGGGGCAAACCAGCTAGCGAGCCCGTGGATGTGACTCGCTTCGCAGTTCCGGGCTTGGCGTGAACGTGAACGTGTTCTTAACATCTGATATTCTGCAAAGCGAAGGATTCTAGGCATCGTCATCCCGGGGAAGTTTCGGGTAGGAGCTTGGTTTTGAGTCATCTCAATTGCTTCAAAGGTAGGCAATGGCCTCAAGGGCGTAGCCTTCAGAGAAGTCCGGCGCTATCTACAGCGTATATTGTTTCTAACAACTCCCGTCGAACCCCTTTATGACAGATCAAATACGGTAACTAAGGTAGAACGTATCTCCGAGCAAGTTATGCCAGAACTTTACTTAGCAACATTGAAATAAATACAGGGGTATGAATCTCATGGTCACGGTCGTCAGTATGCTCCATCGTCTATAATAAGCGTCGGATCAAGACCTTGAGAGTGAAGTAATTGGTAATCAGGCCAGCCGATCACGTTTAGATAAGATGCATGTAGAAGAAATCTTGCAAGCAATGTATCGACTTGGATTTATCGTTTCCTGATGCATCTCGGGATCATATAATACTTCTATCTCAATGTTTATTTTTAGAGTCACATGGACCTGTCGATACAGAGTTTGGAACAGTGACTGCCACGTCTCCTGCGTCGCCTACCAGTTTATCCTCAGCCAGCTCTCAAAATTTGTAAATGCTAGTGTAAAGAGAAACCAAATAAAAAAGTCGCGGCATAAGAAAATGACATCGTTACTTATGAATCTGTCTTTGTCAGACAGCATAATGTTATCAACGTCGGAACCAAAAAGATTTACACAGAGCAGCTCATGGGATGACGGGACTTTATCCGAAGAAACAACCAAACTCTGAATTCAGATCAAATCTCATCTACCAAAAGAGGATATTAGCCATGGTTTCAGATGGAAGTCGAAGCCGAAAAGGGATATCGACAATAAGTCTGATTAGGCACGAACATTTCCCCTCATCTCATGCAATCTTTGAATTTTGATTCTCTGTAATTACTATCATCAACTCTTACAAAGGGAATCCGTTGTTGGCGGATAAGGGTATCAAATATTGTAAATGCCGCCAGTTTCTAATCATTTTGGCGTCATGCCTCTCCCTCTCAGACATAATCCTGATATCCTCGCTGATTACTTCCCCACATGCTTTGGACTTTCCAGAGCACGCTTCTCAGTACTTAGGTAGGGATTAGTTTCAAGAAGAAAAAAAAGGTGTTATGAGCCGTATCACTACGGCATCAAAGACGAGTCGCATCCGGGACCAGACGTTGAATAGACTAGGGTACTCGTGTCCGATAACGTTGAGGCGGCGGAGGCTGCTGACGACGAGTCGGTCCATTAAACTTGGGATTCCAAGGATCGTAGCGATTGATGTGAATAGCGGGCGGCGGCGGCGGCCCCTGTGGCATCGGGGGATAAGGAGGCCGCCGGCCTCGGCCTGGATGACTTGGCAGCGGTTGCCTCGGCAAACGGGACGCCGTGATGCCACTTTCCGAGGAAGATTCATATTCATACAAGGAGTCCCAGTCCGGCGGTGGGCCTGGTCTTCTTTTGTTCTGTGATATGCAGAACCAAGCAATGAGAGCGATGGAGACGAAAGCGACGATGCCGCCTAAAATCCCTCCAATTTGAGCGCTTGATAAGGAGCCGCTGGACCGGTCCGGAGGTGGTGGGTCCTCGGTCGGAGCAGCCGCCGAGGGCGGATCGGCCGGGTTGCCATCAGAGTAGGATGTCGGTGGCCCACTGCCTAGTGTAACGTACGTGATGAATGTAGAGCTCGGTCGATAGATCGTCTGAGTTATGACATGGAAGCCTGTCTCTTCCTGTCGAGCAGCAACGGGAAGAGGGGTTTCGCGGGGTTCCAGCGAGATCGGAGTGGGAGAGGTATGCATTGCTGACAGGATCTCATCAGGCTGGTTGGTAAGCGGCTTATTGGTGATTTCTAGCCGAGAAGAGAAGGCCTCACGGAATGAAATGTGATTGAAACGTGACTAAAGAGACTGCAGTGAACAGTGTATAACAAGGTTGAAAGTCAGGGAGTCGAAGAAGCCACGGAAAGAAGGGAAAAAAAGGAAAGAAAGTGCAAGAGATGGCATTCTTATTCAGATGGACTCGGAAGCAGGCTGCGGTCCGCAGACAACTTTGCGTGCCATCTTACATTTCTTAACGGGTGCCCAGGAGCATCCAACACGTACTTCCATCGCCAGACTAAGGCCAAGCATAGACGCGATTCCTCCGAACGAGCTATAGCGACTCAAGCGACACGCTGGCCAAATACGCATCGGATAAGACACTCAAGACGCGACTAACCTTGTTTTGACACCTCTTTGCCCAGACTGTCGATTTCGTACGGCTGCGCCTGACACATCCAAAGACCTGCAAGCCAGCTGCAAGCCATTGAGGCTGGCCAGTGGGAGACCAACAGCGTGGTGCCATGAACATGCAAAATGCGCACATGATTCTTCCAGTCAACACTGACGATGACCGGGGGTTGGAGGTTAGATCCACCAATGAGCCGAGTTGGTCGGGCTGAGGTGCAGGACTCTAGATCAACCGAACCAATACCCTTGAGTTGCGGACAGCCATTAGCATGTGCCGCACAGTCAGACATCGTATACACACCCACACGGGGGCCGGCCCGTCATGTTGGATCCGTGTGGCCGAGACCCTTGGTTGGAGTGCTCATGTGGCTAGTCCGGGTGAGACAAGGTGTATATCAACCACGGCGGCATCTTAGTTGACGTCCCTCCCTTCGCGTATGCGAATTTGGCCCCCAATTTTCCAGACTAATATCAAACTTGCGCATACACTAACGCAGCCATTGCATCGGCCAGCTCGGACAAGAGTCCATCACCACTCTCACGAAGATAAGACCGGTTGATGCGGCATCTTTGGAACAAATCCCGACGAAGTGAATTGCTACCTCAACGGGTGACGCGATGCCGACCTCATCGCTGCTATTTCCAGGTGTCGTCACGTCCTTGATCGTGCTCGATCTATCCTTTGCACCCGCGAACTCAAGGCGTCATTTTATATCTCTTTTTTATCCCCCAAGTTACACCACGCCTGGAAAATAGTATATCCCCCAAAAAGTACACGAACGAAAGAAGAAAATGAGAAATCATCATGCCAAAGTGCCAGGAAGCGCGAGAGCGCGGATTGCCGGTTTTTTTGTCCGCGGTGGAATTCATTCAAAACTGAAGAACAGAATTGCGTTCGATAAATGGGGCCAGGCGAGCGAACTTCAACTTCTTTGACAGAGTATCAATGGCAGCATCTGGGAAGGTCTTCGAGTCAGCTCGTGTTCCGTTTCGTTCCATCAGAGAAAGAATTAAACTTACTTTTACTTCGATCGGACTTTAGAAATATTACGCGACGGCTCTCCTCCCCCATCCCGCGAAACAAAAATACAAACCTTTACACCTATTTCCTCCTCGCAGCTTTGCCGCCCTGAGCCGGTGCGGCAGCGGTGGGGTTGTTGTTGACAATGATACCGACGCCGGCACCGCCCTCGCCGTTTCCGAGCTGGATGTTGGGACCCTTTGTGAGCGCGACCTCGGCGAACTTGAGAGCACGATCAAAGCCGCTGTTCTGGCGCTTCTCCACCCTCTTTGTATTATCTCGGCCTGCCACGATGCCTTGTTGAGCGGCTCCGGGAGCGCCAACGCTGGCGGCGGCGACGGCGGCAGCGGCTGCTGCACCTTCGCCTCCGGCGGCGCCTCCCTTGCCTTTTCCAGCCTCTGCCTCGCCTCCGAATGTGAGCGCACCATCACCGACTACCAACGCAGGGGAATATGCGCCGAGGTTGATGTTCAGGGGTGCGGGGGCGGCGTTGATCCCTACGGCCAGGAGGGCCAGGGTCATGAGGGTGCTAGTGATCTGCATGGCGAAGACTTGGAAATGAATTGAAAAGATGTTGGTATCGTGTCGGCGCAGCCGGTGAAATCTCTCTCTTCAAGGGGAATTATTAGGTAGGTAGTATGTGAAAATGAAGTGAGTTTTCCTTGGTGGAGAAGAATCGAAAGGTCGAAACAAACAGCACAGCTGGAGTGAGGAGGGAAAAAAGAGAAAGATTACGGAAAGCAGATATCAGCACACGCGTCAACGAGTGGCAAGGCAAGGTGGGAGGAGAGATCGTAATGAATGTAATCCCCACGGAGCGCTGAGAAGAGGTACAAATACCTGATGTGGAGAGAGTGTCAAAGGTGAGAAGGTGGATGTGTAGGATGGCACAAGAAAGACGCGGAGACCATACCAGTCAGGGCTGCGGCGCCGTCATGCGTGTCATGACCTGCCGCTGCCAAGGCCAAGCGGCTCTATCAAAAATAGAAGCTCTGTAGGTGCCTGACGACAAGAGATGATGGGTTCCTGGGCGGTCTAAACACCTGGAACTAGACACTCGGACCTGACGAGGGGCTTCTCGGGGTGGGAGAAGGGTTGAAGGGCCGCGGGTGATCCAGGGGCGGGGGGGCCATGTAGTTTCCGTTGATGGTAAGGAATGGTGATGTGTTGGTGGTGCCGCGGGTTGTGGTGGAGAAGTGCGTCTGAGCGGATGTGAAACAATACAGGCCCCAAGTCTTCCAACGACGAGGGCTCCCCGAAACCATGTAGAGTCTTGGCAACTGAACTGGATGCGCTGGAACTTGCCTCTCTTGCCCATGCTGGTTGCGAAATAAAGATAGATGAAGCTGGTGTTTGACGTTGGGGCACGAGTAGTCGTCGACCAACAATACACTGCGACCTGCCACAGACTAGCAGCTGCAAGACCGTTTGACTATTGACAACTCTGATGGGGTACAGCAGTGAATTACTTGTCAGAGCCACAATTTGCATCAGAATGTCACATTGCCAAGATGTTTGATTGCCGAGGGCCAACAAAGGGGTGTTCACCAAAGACAGATGGCCTGGCCAGCGATCGGGATACTAAGGGGCCGCTCAATACTTCCAAGAGATCTCTTGCTACGACAAGAACTGCACACACCATCTCGTCGCCCGAAATCGATATCGCATACAAGGGTATGCCATTTCAACCTCAAGACCGCTTCCCAGCCTTGCATCCTGATTGGACCGGACGACGTTTCTTTAAAGCAGGGGCGCAAACGTACTCCTACACTGATCCGACTCGACGGAGTCAGTTCAAACTCAATTGTAAGCAATTGTCTTCGGGCCAGAGAAGCTCATCAGGGTGATCTGGCTTTGACAGCTCTTGGAAGAAGGGGGTTCAGAATCATCTCGTGCGCGCCGAGAAAAACTCTTTGAAATGCTTGGTCAACTGGAGGCCCATATCGAGCATGATACCCTGATGCATTGGCTGACCGGCAGCGGTGAGAGAATGGTGGCTGATCGTGTCTGTATGGGCTGCTCTAGAGTGTGATCCAGCAGTTCCCCAGCTCTTCCTTGCAACGGCTCGTGCCACCAGCGGATACACACTTTTGGTGTGCGTCCCCAGCTCTGCGAATGTGAAACCTTGCGTTGGAGAATTTTTGGTTGCGGGCAGCCCTTCTGGCGAAGCAAATGAATCGGGGGCAGAAAAGGTCTGCAAGCCCACCGGCGTTTGTATCTTCACCCAGAGTCATGTGTGAGCTGCCCTGGTTACCCAGCTTTTACTCACGTGGCTTGACAATTACCATCATCACGACATGCTGGATCATAATATGCACTAAGATAGCCATGTCAACTCCATCACGTCCGAAAGCAAAGGCTGAGCACCCATAATCTGAACCTGAAGCATATCTTTGTGTTCTTCATCTCGTGGTCGGTCTCATGCAGTTGAGGATCAGTGTTCTCGGCTGCCCGTGTCTAGGTATTTGTTGACTCGGTGACTTGGCAGGCAAGAAGCCAACCAGATCGAAGTCAAATCTCCCATGCAGAAGAGGATGTAAGATGATGGCCAATTTTCACAAGGGGGCATGGATAATGTTGGTCTGAGAGCGTGAGCTAGTCCTGGAAATCTCTCATATCCCCCAACAACATTTCGACTGTCTGAACGAAGAATTGAAGATTTACGATTAAACTAGCCACCCATGACTATCTGGCCTTTTCACGACGACTAGCTGGGGGGAAGAGAAAATAGTTGCGCCTACGTGTAATATCGACACTTGTTTTCGGGCTCTATCCTTGTAAGGGCTTTATCCTTGTAATCGTCAAACACATGAAATGTTGCTGTCACTTGCACTGACCTCTCCGCATCCGCCCCAAATATTAATAGCCAACCAAGGATCGGGATCTACACATTGAAGCTTTTGGACATGCCAAGAACTATGTGGTTTGGCGCCATCGCTTTTCAGAATGGTTGGAAATACAACCTGACACTCTCTGGCTGCCATTGTGAGGTACATCAAACGCCACCTGGGTCTGCGGAGATTTCAGCACTGTACCAATCAAAATCATTTTGCTTCGATCGGGTCTTGTAATTGTGCAGTTTGTCTAGGCAACTACCTACCCGATTATCAGCTTTTGTCCCCCCGCCCACAAGAATCCGTGCCCTTTATGGTCTGACCTGGCTCAGGAAGAATCTCCTCTTCATCATATATAAAGTTCCTAGGGTATAGGTAACCCTCGACGCCTGCAACCGGATTTACTCCTAAGATACATGACGCCCCGTGTCTAGCATCTCTACCCAGGCTTCTTGATTCTTCTCTTCAGCCGTCGGCGTCAGCCAAGTATACTTTTGATAAATGTAATCGCTATGCGCCACGTCGCGAATCGATCTCATCAAGTTGTCCAGCACTTTAACCCGCTTGTAGTCACTGTAATCTTTGCCATCTGCTTTGTGGTCGTGTCTGGGAGCCCAAACCGCGCGAGTCTTGACCTCGTTGAGCATGGCTCTCACCAGTGAGTTGGACGCTCTCTCAATCCGCAGAGCGCGGCACTTGAAGCAGCAAGCAGGGCGCGCGGCGCCCTCGGGCGTGGTAAGCGGGAACTTGCTGAACTCTGCCATGTTCCTGGGTAGAGGCAAACCCATCATGCCCGGATTCTTGCAACTTAGGGCACACTGCCCGTACGGGCCAATGTGGCCCGTACAGTAGGGACACTTGGGTTGGCCGACGTTGTACAGGCTCGCAATATGTTTGACACATGCATCGCATAGAATGTGGCCGCACACGAGGATCATGGCCCGGTTCGAGTTTTCGCCGGTCGTGGCGCTCATTGATGTTGTGCATTTCGGGCAAGGGGCGGCGAATTGCTGAAGGGCCGTGTCCGAGGTCATCCAGGACTTGATGTCCGGCCAGAACACATTGCGGACCTCGTCACGCTTGCCGGACATGGCGGCCACGTCCGAGGGTATGAGATGATTGGGGGGCCCTTGTCCGGCCGGCATGGTCGGCCGCGGGGGCTGCTGGGGTGGATATCCGGCCGGCATCTGTGATGGCATGAGTTGCGGGGGCGGAATTTGGTGTGGGGCGCCGACGAGCGGGCGGGGGGCCGAGTCCCATCGGTTGCCGGTGAAAGCATCGTTGCCTTCGCCGATGTCGTAGGATTCGTTGACGGATCCGGCAGCAGAAGGGGCTCCTTGACTGCCTCCAGAACCACCTCCCCCTCCGCCGAGACCTCCACCAAAATGCATGTTGCGAAGCTTGCTCAAGGTTTCTCTGTCCATTTTGCTAGGTTCGTCAGATCCTCCAGCTCGGTTGATTCTCAAACTAAGGAACAGAATGTGGGAGGGTCCAAGACTGTCTTGATCAAGTCATTGATGGGAACTGGCAAGCTGGGAAACTAAAGCTACATGATATATGAACGTTCTTCTATGTTCTTTGGAGAGGCCGAAACTCCCTAGTCGGCGTCAAACAGTTGCCTGTCCTGTGTCGCTTCGGTGCATGTCTTTGACGCTACGATTTCCGGCGCCTGTAAGCAAAATCTCAAAAGAATAGAGCGAATCCGAAGATCTTACTTTGACCGAATCCTCCCTTACAAGACATAGAGTTGCTAACTTCAAGGCAAACTCGGCCTTATTGTTGTTGCATCGTATTGAGAGCCACTTGTTTGCAATCTGTTGCTGTCAACACGTTCATTATGTCTTCCTGAAACACGTCTCTAAAAGCTTCACTTGCCTTCTTTGTTGTTTCCGCGTTTCCTCGAAAGAAATAAGTTTGGTCCCACCAGATGTCGCGGAATCACAGAGTGAGGGGCATTATCTCCAAGGTGCCGAACCCATTCCCCTTGCAACGTCAGGCACCCTGCAAAAGATTGACTGTGGGCGTCTTAATCCATTGTGATGCTGTATTTTTGGGGCGTTTCCCCATTGTCACGTCAGGTTTGTTCAAAGTCTACGGCTGTGGTGGGCCTAAATCGCAAAGATACGGTAACAGGGAGCGCTGCCCGCGTCAGACACAGGTGAACATACTGGATCAACTG